CGCCAACACCGACGCTTTTTGGTGGTCTCCTCCTCCCAACTCCGCCACATCCCCACTGCCTCCAGGCAGGCGAGCCCGAAGGCCGCCACGATCCCAGAGAACTATGAGGGAAAGGCGAGAGTTGAGAGGGTTCGACAGCTATACACAAACAACGAAAGACACAGACAGAAGCATAGCCCGAAGGCCGCTGTACACTCACACGCCCAAAAACGACAGACACGCACACACAGACAAGTCATCATCATGGCCCCAAGGCCGCCATCCCGAAGTCCCAACGCCGGTACCCAAACAGAAACAGAAACAAAAGCAACGAACGACCAGCAAGACCAAAAAGCAGAGAACCAACGCCAGCGCCCACCATGCCATCATCCAATTGACTGCAAACCCCCCCAAGAACCCTGCCCCACTGGGCCTCCTTCCAGTTAGAGGAAGTCGCCGTTGACCAATTCGGCGACTATCCGCTTTCGCTGCAGCGGAATATCATTCGGGCCGTAGCCCAGGACGTCTGCTCCCAAAATGAGCATTTTTGCTGTAGTAATGGCGAAAACACCACAGTCCGATGAATTGTTCTGCTGTGGCGATTGCTTGTCGAAAAAGGACCACTCGCGCTCGTTGTAGTGAGTTCCAAGCTCTCCTCGGAGCCATATCTTCAGCAGGTCGAACCATTGTCGCCCATTGTTGCTGCGGGTTCGATCCATGGAATCATAGTAATGTGCAGTTCTTGCACCAGGATAGACCACCATCAGTGTCCAGTGGCTTCCATTGTTGACAGGAATGAAGATAGTATGTGTTTGAAGTAAGTCGGCACCGCCGATCTTGGCTCGTCTGGCCCAGCGTTCGACACCTCGATAGCCTTTTTCGGCAACTTGTTTGAGCATGAATGAAGGAAAAGCATGGCTTTTCGGAATAGCGGACGGATGCTTAGTGTTATGAAATTTGGTAGCAAGTTTCAGGTAGCCGTTGACAGACTCATCATTGAGCCAACTGTCCGTGAAACGACCTTGTTGGGGAGGGACAACACGAGCAAAGTCAGCGGCGGTGTAGTCTGGTGCAAATCCAGCTCTGACAGCTTTGCGAACTTTGTCCTCCCATTCTTCAGAAAGACTAGATATTTTCGCCTTTTCCAGATTGCGTTGTCTCTCTTCCTCTTTGCGTTTTTGAGCTTCTGCTTCGTCTTTAACAGCCTGCCGAGTCATGCGGCGGGAGACAACACCTCTGTATTTGCTGAACGGAGATGGAGCTGCCTCTTCGTACCACTGTGGCGGTATCTTTTCCGAGGGGAAATCTACTACAACATAAGAAGAGAAATCGTGGACATCATCCTCAGAGACGACAGGATGCTCAGAGGGACTATCTGCGACAGCATCATCAGACTCGACAACAAGGTTAGATGAAATTTTTGCTGCAGCAAGACGAGCGTCGAGAGAAGGGTCAAGAGAAACGTTTTCGACAGCACCATAAGGTCCGGGAGGAAGGCCAGAGGAGATATTTTCGACATCATCAGAGTCGATAGGAAACTTAGAGGTATCTTGGGTGGCAAGGTGCGTGTGGATAGGAGTATTTGAGGAGATTTCTTCGGTAGTACGATGAGCGTTGACACGAAGATCGGAAGATATCTCTGCGGCGATACGATGGGCATCGACAGCGTTAACGCCCCGGAAAGCGTCTGGAAAATAGGTGGGGCCGTGCACAACGCCTTCCAGACTTTCTGTGAAGACGGGAATGAAGGAGGAGAAACCATCATGATAAGATTCGGCAAGTTGATTGTCTTCGGAATTGTCCTGGGGAGCGTCCGAAGGTGATGCAGGAGCATCATCAGTACTCTCTAGTGAGAAAGGGACAAAAGACGAAAACTCTGTCTCGTCTTGCGCGGTGGGGGCCTGGGAAGAGACGTCCGTAAAGTCTGGTGAGAAAGGAACGAAGGATGAGAACTCTGTCTCATCAAGGGCGGTTTGAACATCTGTGCCGCGAACATGCACAGGAATAGGTGAGCCACGCTCCAAAGCGTTACGCAAAAGAGACGAGGACTGTCTAAAGTCTTGCGGCTTCGTCTGCTGATACAATGAGACGTCTGTATACTTTGGTGAGCCAGGAGGGAAAGACGAGGGCTCGACCATATTGCGGAGAGTGTCGGGAACAGTAGAGGAGAAATCTGAATCTTTGCCTTCCATGTGGGAAGGGTAAAGTTTTATGTTGCGTAGTGGGGTAGTAGGAAGGTTAGGTCCAGTAGGTGTGCTTGGTGCTTCACTCGAGGACGAGACAGATTCATCCAAATCTTGCAAAGTGTAGGGGACGTTAGAGGAAAGATCAGAGTCATTGCCTTCCATGTGTGAAGGATAAGGTATCACGTTGGGTTGAGGAACAGGAGGAAGTTCGGGTTCCTGGCTGGGGGTTGATGCTGTACCCAAGGACGAGAGCACTTCTTCTAGCTCTGGCATAGGCTGATGTGCAGCGACAGGAAGAGGTGAGTTGAACGTATGAGGTGGGTTTACCGGTTTTGGTGGTTCGAAGCGGTGGAGGTAGTCCCATTCGTGAGTTGAACTAAGCCAGGAAATCGGAGCAGGTAATGAGGTTGACATATCGCGTGGTCCGCTGACAGCAATAGGTGCTTGGGGAGTTGATTGTTGAGAAACATGTTGAAGTGCTCGCCCAACTGCTTGTTGAGGCAATTGATCAGGAGATCGTTGAACTGATGGCTGAGCAACCTGTTGAGGTGATTGTCGAGGCGATTGTCGAGCTGGTACGGGTCTGCGGCGTCTTACTGCCTGAGTTCGACGAACTCGACGCGCAATCTGATAGGTTGCTTGATGCGCAAGATCGTGTGTAGCCTGCACGGTAGAGGTGAAGTTATTTTGTGCCGATGTGAATAGATAGCTAGGAGCTCGAAGAACGGAGGCAGCGGCCTCGATGCAACGACGCTTTGCGCGACCAACAGCTTGTATGGCGCATGTGGTGATAGAAGGTCCTGTAAGGTGTTGGAAGTGAACAACATCCTTAACATTGAATTGTCTTTCAGTGTAGTAATCGACCCAGCCTCCTGGCATGTTTGGTATCTCGAATTCATCGCGTGGGCGTCTTCGCTCAAGCATGGCTATGCAGATGAGGCATCAGTAGTGGTCTTAGACGGGGAGGGAAAGGTAGACCTACCTGGATTGTATGTAGCATTGATTTCAGCGGCTGGCGGCGTCGCCTGCCAGTCCATCATAGTGACATCTGCCATCTTGGAGATGTGATGTAAAGGAAGCAGCAAAGGGCTACGCCAGAGCTACTGAGGTATTTGAATGGTGTTTGTTGTCGTTGTTACTGTCGAAGCCAGAGCCAGGATACAGCAGAACAGAATTGAGATGAGGAAGGAGCTTTGCGCCGACCCGGGAAGCAATGGGAAGCTGTTGCAAGAGCTTGGATGTATTGTGGAAGCAGCAAAGGGTTATACCGGAGCTACTTAGGTTGATTGGATGTTTGTATTGAAGTTGAAGTTGTTGTTGTTGTTATTACCGAAGTAAGAGCAGCAGCCGAAGCTTGAGCTTGGGAAACTGCGACGCGGAATTGAGTTGAGAGAAGAGCTTGGTACCAGCAAGAGAAGCAATGAAAACGTATAGCAAGAGCTTGGATGTTGCAGCGAAGCGGTTGCCAAGAATTCGCATTGCTGGGAAGTGTTGTGGTGATGGTTGGAGAAGAAGGAGCAAAACAAATCAAAAGGTGAAGGTGGGCTGGGAAGCGCAAGAGCTTCGATGCGGTCAGAACTTCCTAGCGCGGTGGCAGAATCCCAGAATCCTGGTCTTGGCCGATCTGGCACATGGGGGACGCTAAGAGTCTCGCTTGTTGATCCGAAATGGCGCTAATCGACAAAACTCTTTCGCTTCTTCCCCTTAACTACGGGGTAGTGGCGTTTGCATCTGGCACCTCGGGTATGCAACCGCTTCCGCTCCTTGAACACATTCCAGAAACGATGCAGCCCTACAAATGACCGCCCCGACTGAAGTTCTTGTATGATTGTGTCACTATCTCCACCCAGCCATTTACTCCCTCCTACGTTGAGACTAGTTAAGTCTTCTTCCTTACCCAGTACTCAAAATCTGGTAGTGGCCTTGGATCTCTTGGTGTTCGTATGGATATCTGGTCTGGGATGCTGATCTCTGATCCGAATCTGTGATGCTAAGGCTCCCAAGGCTGACACCCGGTGATCCACGATACAACGAGTGGGGTACAAAGGACGATTCTTTCCAGTCTTTTAAGGCTAATCACCCGACCAACGATAATTGAAAGATCAGAGATCGAGTCAAAATCGCCCTAGAAGGCGCTTGTATTATTTTATTACCACGTTAAGCTGTCTATAGATACAGTCACCTCCCGCCAATCTATGTTCCCACACCAAGGCCGAGGGTGTCAAAAAGGATGGGATTGCCTTCAACCGCAAGCCACGCAATGCCTAAAGACGTGTTTTTGTCAGCTACGTAGTTGCTATGTTGATGCAAATTTTTGCTACATACCAGAATATACGATCAACTTCGTCACAACTTCAGCATCGTATCGTACTCGAGGCTTCTCGAGTCGCGAGAACATGTCCTTTTCACCTTGCTCTTGCGTTTGCACTTCTACCTTCATATTTGCTGGACTGTGAAGAGGAGACTCAGCAGCTTCATCTTGCGTGCTTGTATTGAAGCCCGTTCCCATCATGCTCTCATAAGTTTTCAATCTTGTCATTTTCAATGCTTGGTTCGAGATTGAACCATTGGCGATACCCTCGGGCTTGGAATGACTGTTTGCTCGCTCGTTATTGGTAACTTCAGGATCGCCGGTCGGATCGGTTGCATAACTTGCGGAAACACTGTCTCGGCGGCGCTTCTCACGATAAGCCAAAGTCTCATAGGCGTCTGCTTGGGATTGCGGCCCAATAGATACTGACCGCCTGCGAGGATGTCGCATAGACGTCAAGAATGCGGGGATCTCAGAGATAGCAGGTATGACATTATCGTCTTTGCGAAGCTTGGGAATCCGTGTATACTCGGAAGCTTGCTTGAAAAACTTGCGTGGCAGACTCAATCCTAGCTTCTCAATGACCCGAAAGGCCGGAGGCAGAATTCGTAACATGCATGGCTTCATAACCTCTCTCCATAAGAATATGGTCATCACTCCGAGAATGATGCGGGTCATGATCACCATCCAGCCCATTGACTCAAAATCAAACGGAACCGTGCCTGGAATCGGTTGTGACCACGCATAATTGCTGTTGGAGAAATGCCAACTTCCGTATTCGACACCGATAACCACCCCAGCGAACGCAACGCTATCGTCAAAGCATGGACAATCATCTGCAGGTTCAGGATGTATTCGGACAAGTACAAGAATAGTGAGAACCACAATAAACATGTCTTTTCGTAACGCGGTATGTATGAAATCATCAATCACGTCACCATATGTGCATTGCACGAAAGAAATGGCAGCACCCAACATACTGCCTATGATAACATCGAAAAATCCGTGCATCCCACAGTAAAGCCGGCCAAGAACGATAGAAGAAGCGTAGAAGTAGGAGATGGCCTGCAGCAAAATATTGATCTTTGGTGATAGAGATGAGTTGGTGTTGAGAAGGTAGAGCGCATAGACAGCGACCGAAACTGCGTTGGTCGAATGGGTGGAAGGAAAGCCATATTCAAGAGCAGCAGAACCTGACATGGTAATCCGTTGCAACGGAGGCGATAAAGGCCGAGGAAGGCACCAGAGGTCTTTGATGAAACCACTGAAGAAGACGCCCGAGGCAAGAATATGGACCATGCTAGACTCTCTGTCAGATTGCATGTGGCGCAGCATTGGACCGGACTAACCCTCTCCCTAGGTCTGAATGCCCACACCAGAAGAGTATAGGCAATACTATCATGAAAAAGGTGTGCGTCCCAAGGTTGGCTGTGATTGCAAAGTATGTGTCGAGTGCGGGAGACCTCAACTTCTCTTGAAGCCACGCGAGGAATGGCGTCTCCCATCGCACAAGAGGGAGCAGACTCTGTCGAGGGCGGTAGCGCCACTTTGGGAGCTTGGACTTATCTGAACACCATGAATATCAGTCTACTGATCCCAATCGGCGACTCGTGAATCCAACTCACAGTGATTTAAGCTCTTGAGGCCAGCATCCAACAGCTCTTTCTCCGTGTTCATTCTCTGGAATGTGATCTGGGTACTGCAAAGAACACACTGATAAGGTGATCGCGTATCTCATCCTGCGGTTCGGTAACAAGGATCATTTTGCGCGGCATTCACGCGCCAGTTGCTCAAGAACATGGCAGTGGTATGATGTTGTGCGAGCCAGGGGAAATCTGCGCCCGGGACGACCGGAGGTGCTGTGCCTTGGCTGCACAACCTAGTCAACCAGGATCATGCATAGCGAGAATATCAACCAGACATGAGAACCATACCCATGCACATGAAAAGAGATTACTTGAGGATGGGTGTTCTTATCAGGAACCGGGCGTACCATACATCATTCTGCTTCACCTGTTGAGCTTCATATACCCGTTAGCCGCACCCCTCCATTGTGCTCCTGGCGCCAAACTAACGTCCCCAGCAAGCAATGAATCTTCTACTACGTAGGGAGTCAAGTCTTTGCTACCCAGTATGCAAGCTACATTCGCCACTCCTCGTTTGCAGCTCTTCGCATGGCTAAACTTGTGCTACATTTGGAAGTAGCTCCTGTAATCATCACCAGCGATGTAAATGCGGTCTTCCAGCTATTTCTACGTACTAGTAGTACGTAGTACACTATAGTTATGCCAAGGGAGACCCTGCAGCCATGCGTCTGATCGTGCAAGCCACATCAGGGATTATGTCTTGGCAGGGCAGCGCTTGGTAACCATCAAAACAAACAATGACCTGCAGGTACCGATGCAACTAACAGGATCATCTCGTACATTGTGTATAATCACTGCCCCACGCATTGTACTTTTGGCATCACAGACAACATATGTTTTCTTTGTCAAGTCCATCATAACATTCTTGTCTGCTCACAATCTTCTTGCTTTACTCCGGCCCACAAGCCAAGATGTCAATAAGGACCTACGGGCGGGAGCAGCAGTTCGGCAACCTCTCCAGACACCAGTCCATACTGAGTGAGAAAACACCCAGATCCAACTCCATCTCTCCACGAAGGAAGCCAGTTCGCACCCAGAGCACACGAACCAGCAATGCTACCGTCAGCACAAACATGAGCTATTCCTCGGCCGGGCGATTGTCAGAAGCAACCAACATCACGCAACCACCGTCATACTCCAAGAAACTCGTGGTTGTGGGAGACGGAGGATGTGGCAAGACTTGTTTGCTCATCAGCTTTTCGCAAGGATATTTTCCAGAGGTATGGTAGACAATGCGCCGGCATATGAAAGTGAACAAGAAAGCTGATAATGCCTGGTGCTAGAAATACGTGCCCACTGTTTTCGAAAATTACATCACACAGACCACACATAACCCCACGGGTAAGAGCGTGGAGCTGGCGCTATGGGATACAGCAGGACAAGAAGAATATGATCGGCTGCGACCTCTTTCGTATCCGGAAACTGACCTCCTGTTCGTCTGCTTTGCAATCGACTGCCCTAACTCGCTGGAGAACGTCATGGACAAGGTAAGAGCACTGACAGAAAAAGCGATACATAGCATTCCATACTAATGATGGATCTTTAGTGGTATCCCGAAGTCCTCCACTTCTGCCCTACCACACCCCTCATCCTCGTCGGCCTGAAATCCGACCTCCGAACCAAGAGAACATGCATCGACCTTCTCAAAACCCAGGGTCTTACGCCTGTCACACCCGAACAAGGCCAAGCCGTCGCAAATCGTATGGGAGCCACATACGTCGAGTGCAGCAGCAAGGAGATGCAAGGTGTAGACCAGGTCTTTGAGCTGGCGGTGAATATTGTGATTGAGGCGGAAGAGAGCTCATATGAAGATAGTAAAACGATAAGTGGTGGTACTGGAGGCGGTGGGAGTCTGAAGGGCGGGAAGAAGGCTAAGAAGAGGACGTGTAGGATTTTGTGACGACAGAAGGGAGGAATGACTGTTGACGTGCCTTGATTAGCGGAGGGAACGATGTGTAAGTATGTGTGTCTGGTGTGGCCTCTGCTTCTCTCTTCTTCTTTTCTGCATCATATTTTCGGTCCACCACTTTCAATTGAAAGAGGCCAGCCTGCAGCGGCCGTGCACAGTTGGCGCTGAGCGGTAATGTCAGTATTTATTGTACTGCCTGTAGAGCCACAGTAGAGGTTCCTCCCGATACTTGACGGATTGGCGCTGTCGAACAAGAGCTGTCCACAGACCATTTCAGCACTGCAAAAGTTCTCTCTGCCCTATGGAAACCCTGTTCCGGCAAGACGTACCAAATAGTAGCCGTCCCTGGGCGTAATGTTATTCATGTCGATATCGATGCGAACCCTGAATCCATGCCCCACCTCAACATCCATGAAGCATTTGCTCGAAATGGCCACCCATTGCTGAGTTACCTGCCGCTCGTGCTCAAATTGATAAGAGAGCTCGAGGGTCAACCACTTGAGCTGGTTTCGTGACAAGCACCTGACACGCTGCTTATACCCTCTCCTCTCTCCCGTTGTACTGCCTATGTCGCATCCCCATTCCGCGTCTCTACCTCCACATGTTCGCGATCCGGTTCGGAGTCCAGGTTCTGATTTCCCTGTCTTCCCACCTCTCCTACCCCAGCTTCGTCCTCTTTCGCAACACCACCATCACCACCACCACCACTCCTCCTCCTCCTCTCCACGTTACCATCATCGGCTGAGTCCATCACGCCCTCGAACTGCGACCACAGGGCCTCGACTGCGGAGAATTCGTTTCCGATCTAGATAAGATAATCTGTCAAAGTTTGTTGGGTTGAGATTCAGCTATAGGAGAGCAATACGCTAGGCTTGAGAGCTGAGGGGGGAAAGGGGAGAGAGCGCTGTTGGGCTCCGGCTGAGTACGTACGGCTATGATGCCCTCGAGATTGCGGTTCAAGGTGTTGAGTTGTTGGAGGACCTTTTCTAGGGACTGTACGCGTTGAAATATTGGTCAGCCCACTCCATTACTTCACTCATCTCATATCACTCTGGTCCTCTTTGAAGGCGATGAGATCATAAGTAGTGGGGGTTAAGGCCAGCGTGTCTCGCGCAGACATCTAGAGCAGCGACGGGGCAGCAAGACCAGCAAGGAGAAGGAAGGGAGGGAGATTATTCCATACATCGCCAATCACACCGACCAGTTCCGATCTTCGGGTCTCGAACTCCGTCTCTGTCATTCTCGCATCCGCATGCAGATTTAGACAACGCGGCTCCGCAAAGTAGAGGACGGTAGCGTGGTGTTGTTTTTCCTAAATCTTAGTGAGAATTGCAGACCCCACCCCGTTTACTCCTGCTGTCTGGAAGGTATCAGGAGAGCAAAGGACTCGGGCCTGTTACATTAGAGGAGGTACATCATGTAGAACCACCAAACTTGGACCAAGAAAATTCATATCATATTCAACGCCGAAAACGACATTCGGGAGGATGGCCGAGCGGTTAAGGCGCTGTGTTTAGGTCTTATTTACCTGAATCCCCGCAGTGGGAAACCTCGTGGTGAGATTGAGCCACTCTTCTACATAGACCCAATTTGAGAGAATATATTAATTTTCGTTTCTATAGGGTTCGAATCCCACTCCTCTCAGCAATTTTTTGGGTGGGCAAGCTGTGATGCTGGAAGGGATGAAACGAGACTCAAATTGAAAGGGAGAACCATTGCAAGGGAGAGAGGGCGTGCAGTCTTACGGGATCGACCGTCGAGGGAAATGAGACAAAGGCGGGAAACGCCTGAGAACAATAGAGCAAGCATGCTATACTTACTGAACTGTATGCTGTACATATGATACCTGCCCATATAATGGCTAAATTAAATACAACTTTTTAGCAGAACAGATGACCGGTTTCCATCTTCCTGGAAACCTATTCGGCCATGAAATGCAATAAGGCCTGGGCCTGGTGCATGTACAAGGAGTGATCAAGGGGTGTCTCTCCTCTATTTTGGGCAACCCCGACTGCTTCCGCCCCAACACTCTTGCGAGTTCCGAGGCGCCATCCCCGCCCCGGCCCGTTCCCAATATCCCATTGAGAAGAATGCGTCTGGGATGCAAAATTGACCCTTTGATGTCTGTACGACCGGCAACGCCTGACCTGGTCCAGATGCGATGTATGAAAAATACGTCTCCTCTTTCGAAAGGATCAGTGAAGAAATGGCAGGATGCTTTTTTTCCCAAGCGAAATATCTGCACCCAAAACAACGCCGACGTAGTTTGTGTCCAAGGGTGTGATATATCTCGTAGTGGGTGAGAGGGTCTTTTTGGCATGTGGTATGTTATCGGAGACGGAGAGGATCGAATGTATGTATTGCCACTAGGCTGATGAGATGTTCATTGGGTGAAGCAACACCCATCTTGACAAAGTGGAGTGTTTCGGTTATCGATTTGTGAAACTGAATATTCGTGATCTTCTTTTCGACGACGCAGACTTCTGCTCATCCTTATTCAGGTTTTCGCTTGAACTACTTCCGAGGCTGGAACCGGACGTGGATCGTGCTCTGCTAGATAGATCCGACTGTGCAATAATGTCTTCAAGTCTGACATCGAGGGGTGAAGATGGGGCTTGAGACTCCGGATCGAGGACCTCGACGAATCTTGAGGAAGCCATAGTGGTGGGGAACGGCACGACAAAGACAGACGGAGATCGGATCAGAGGTTCGGATCAGAAATTCAAAGAATGTAGGTAGAAACGAGTGTGGCACAGTGAGTGATCAGGATGTGAGAAGGAATGCGGGAAATATCAAGCAATGACATTCAATGCGGATTATTAGGAAAACCTCCTACCTTGATGTGCCGGGCATGGTTACCAAGGGTACATGAGTTTGCCTCTCTGGGTTCCAGTCTGGAACGACAGATGACCCCGGAACTGTAAATGCGGAGTCGCAAACCGTTGCCAGCCGAAAATCTGCACTACGTAAATGGCCCGCGTGCCATTGCTGCAGCGCCGTAGTTGGTGGGTGTGCCACCCGCAATGGCAGCCTGATCCTGGTTTAGCACACGTCCCCCCAAAAAGAATTCTGATCGGCCCCTTGCAAGGCTCCTCTTTTGCGACGTAGGGTTCTGGCCAGGGTCGATGGGCCAGTGTGACCTGGATTGGTGCTCAGATCGACGGCATCAGCCACTGCGTTGGCTGTGCTAGGGTATCCGATAGAAAGTTTCAGGATTTTCCCGAGGTGGCCACTTTCCGACGAGGAATGACTTCAATTGAGTGACATTCGGAAGGTTGAGACGAAGCGAAGAGCTCTGAAACACAGATAAGCATGACAAAGTTCTTCTAGCAATTAGCTATTCCTCGCTTAGAGTGATATGTGCCCGCGAAGAAAAGAACTACCACGGTGATAATGAACTGAAGGTTTTTCGCTGGTGATCGGCATTTAATCCTTTCCAAACTCGTATCTTTCCCACCAGAGGACAACCTAAAATGGGTCACGCAGCCATGCTTACTACGGTACTGGGCATAAGTATTCGTAGCACAGCGCTAGTATATTTGCACAAAAACAGGCTGTGAACCAGACATCTAAGCCTTGAACAGTTAGCGGTACTGGTGTGGCCAATTGATATGAACAATGGCCAAAGAAGCTTCTAGGTATGAAGTGGCGCTGTATCCAAACTAGCTGCTACTAGCGCTGTGCTACAACTACTTATGCCCAGTACCGTAGTAAAGGCAGCGGAGTTCGTTCGGGTTTAAGATTGGTGCCAGGACGGATGCGTCACGCGAGATAACGTGACTGTCAGACTTACGCCGCACACCCATTACTACTACGGGAAGAGGCATAAGTATCCCCAGCACGGCTAAGAGCTGCTAGCATCAGATACGTCGTCACAACACTTTCTCGAAGCTTCTGTTATCAACAGCCACACAATTCATTTGATACAGTACAGCTACATTTTTACAGGCTTAGCGGCCATGTACAGAGTCTTGCTTCAAAAGTAGTTAACTGCCGCTAAAGTCTACGTAGCCAGGCAGCTAACTACCTTTGTATTAGCTTTTAGCAGTTAGTCTCTTAGATCATCTGATACTTAGGGGTTAGGATTAGGGACGTAAGGTGTATAAGGTAGACTTACACCTTATAAGTAGCATTTGAAGTACTTATGAGATAAGGATAATTGATAACTAATTTAAGCATCATTAGATCATGGCCCTTACACTACTATGTATTAGTTGGCGGGTCAGCCTATGTTCAAGCTAAGAAACCCCTAGCAGCGTCACATTGTCCAGGGGGTCAACTACTTTTGAAGCATTCTGAGGGATAAATTCTAGCGCCGAGCTATGGATACTTCTGCCCCCTGCCGTCATAGCTCGGTGCTAGTATCTCTGTCAGGAAACGGACTACGTTATACGAACGAATCCGTTAAGCCTTAAGGAGTTAAATGGTACTGTTGTGGCCAATAATTATGGAACATCGTTCAAGAAGCTTCTAGACATTCAATGCGGCGCTGTATTAGGATTAGCTGCTACTAGGCCTGAGCTATGAATACTTCTGGCCCCCTATTAGTACTACGTACTGTACTAGTAGTAGTAGTAAGCCTAAAGACTTCTTGGCCTTCTCCAGAGAAAGTGTTGCACATGATGTGTGTTGCGTGAGTCAGTTTGTCATGTTACTTTGTCTATCTTGACTAAATGCGCCATCGAAGCCATGACTTTGGGTTGCTCGCAAACCTGTGTCGGACGACTAAGAGGCGGCAGGAATAATCCGTAGGAGAAGCAGGTACGAATTGGTAAGATACAAAGTCCTCCTCGATACTTGGAATAGGTGTTCATGTCTTCATCATGAAGACCTCGATCTTTACCCACGATTTGCGTCTGAAAATTTCCCGTACGTCTTCCTACCGTGCCCACGTCATATTGGGAGTGGTGTGCTATCAGCAGAGACTCGTAATCTCGAAAATTTGACTCACTCAAAATGTCCACATGCAGCATCGCATAGTCGGGACACTAGTGCCAGCTATTTGGGGGAATTGGAGATTTGACAAAGAGAGAAAATAGAGGGACGGGATACTGGTATGTAGAATGAGTAAGCTGGGCGGTATTTGCTCTAAAGATCTCGGGACACCTCAGTGTATTCATATTGCGGTGGGTATTTGGCGAATTTGTCGAAAGAGGAACAAGACAATTGCTTGGTCTACCCAAGACAGCTCGCCAAGGATGATTGACGCCGCTCGCCTTTCACAAACGCCCGTTCGAAAGGGACAAAATCGTGAAGCAGCCGAATGCCTTTGGACCAACTCAGTTCACTATTCCGCTGGTGCTCCTGCTTATATCTTTTGATTTTCCGCATGGCGCGACATCTTTGGTGGTCATATGCAGGCCATCAGATATCGCCAACATTGCTCGACTAAGCTGATGCTGCTTCGAAAGCATCTTGGTATCTGTAGACCCTGGATCATGTCTTGTGCCCTAGCTTCTGCCGCAATCGGAAGGCCTCTGCTTTGAACGAATGTCCAACTTCTTTCTCATCCGATTTTCCACTCGGCTGTAGCTGGTAGATCCGTAACTTCATTCCTCCATCTTGACGTCGTTGTTCATCTCCACTCCCTTGGCAGCTGATATCCACAGTACATTGTTGCATCTGGAAGCCACGGGTCAGCTAGGTCCAATGGATTGCGCAAAGGCCGTACCGGACAAGCTCCCGACATACCTTATCAAAACCTGTCCTAATGTGCCCGTGCTCTTCCCATTGATGAACTCTTCCGTCTCATTTAGCTGCACATTCATGTACGAGTCGACGCTGATCAATCGACCCTTGTACTCTGTTTGCCCCCATTTCAGACGAATTATGACTTCCTCGTTGATCCTAGAGACAAGGGGACCGTATTAGCAGGGTCACCGTGTGTAGATTGTGCATAGCTCCATCAGGTCCTGGATGACGATGTCGAGGAGAGATAGGTAAGTCTGTAGCGCAGGATTGAATCGACAAGGACAACCTACAGAGATTGCAGCATAGGTCGCGGGTTCACAGGAACGAACTGCGGCAGAGTTAGTGCTTTGCGCTTGGAAGAGCAGTGAAGAGCATACACTCATGCTGGGCTATCGCATAGAGAACGTCCCAGGTTGGCGAGGGTTCGAGAAACCAAGAAGTTAGAGATTTCCAAAGGAGTGTGCTCAAATGATGTAGAGAATGTGGAAGATGATTATTGTGATTTGAATTTACTCCGTCTGGGCGGACGCTGGTCGTCTCACAACTTCAAGTTTCCAAAATACACCCGCCAAGGCTCAGCCCTGTCAATCTCATTTTTGGAAATGAACGGTGGAGCATTACAGACGACTCGGAGCAGTAATAATGCATGTCACAACGCACCTTGAATGGTCACTTCGGCATCTATTCACCACCCTCATGAGATATGCTGCAAGGTTGCATCACTATCGTGCCAATACGCGGCCTTGAAGGCTCCACCAAGTCTCTCACGCTCTTTTGATCTCCCATTTCAGATCCTTTATGCTGACCTCGGCACTCACTTTCTCATCATAGTCAAACCACTCTCCTTCCTGTAGATCGATACCACCGAAGGTAGTGGGAGACTCCAGCCCTTTGGCTTCCCATTCTCCCTGCAGAGAGGTCAGTTCATGCTCAAGGAGCATCCATTGCCTTCTGGGGGTGAAGTCATGCTCCACCTTGTGACTTACTTCTGGCTTGAATTCTACAAATTCGCAGCCCCTACAATCGAACTCGATCACATTCTGTGTCTTTGGCGGGGAGCTGTGGGTGTAGGGAGCTGGAGCAGCTTTGATGGTGGCACTGGACTCTCTCTGCGTAGAGCAGGCATGTTAGAATGGCCGCCCCGTCCAACAGAAGGGGCTGGATCCGAAAGCTGGTACCTTGCAGTTCTTGCATCTCCACACAAAGTTTGCTTCTCCTCTGCTGCCAGAGAGTTCGTTTGATTCCTACCGGAACAATTAGGAACAACGAAGTTGAAGGTCTTGTATGGGATTGATGTGACATAACTGCCAGTCTCTCGCTCCGTCCATAGCAACGTAGTAATCCTCAATTAAGGTGCGAACGAAATGTGGTACGAAATGACTATTCTAGTATGGTACTTGAGACGACCTGGCTGGAGCACTTACAAAGCGGCTGATGCTGACCCAGTTCGGATGAGTTTCACGGCACGATGTGCATTGGACCTTGAAGGAGTAGAAGTAGGGGCTGTCCGGGGTATCGACAGGCCGAAGATCTGTCACCCTTTGATGGGTCAATATTAGCTTGCCATGCACCTGGGATACGATCCATACCCTTCTAGGTCTGCTTTCAAGGCAAGTGCCAGCATTCTGATGGTGGACTTCGGACGTAATCAATCATATAAGTGGTTGGGGAATGATTGGTGGAGATGTAGAACGCGGAAGTAGCAACAGCAAAATCAATACGCTGAAACCCAAATATGAGCTGTCGTTATATTTAGGTCAGTGCAGCGTCTCCAGTAACTATCGTATAACAACGCCTGTATTCAGTGTTCCCGGACGCCATAGCCATGCTCGATTCGCGAATGCAGAATGCCGCAACCTAATCACTCCTTCTCGAGTGCACCTTCTTACATCTCCTCGATAGCGCAATTGGGATGAAGCACGTAAACAACTCTCTCCGCATCAGCTGAACTCCCAGCAAGTTCTTCATCACCATCCACCAGTCCTTCGCCTCGTACTTGCTGGATGATATTGTCCTGGCATAGAAGATTAGCTCACTAGACTATTAGCTTCGAATAATCATGCATACCTTCAGCATCCTCTTGAGGACTTTTTTGACAAGTTCATGCTCTGCCTCGAGATCTTCTTGATTCTGCAAATCGCCTTCCACTTGTTCCAGATACCATTGCACGAGCTCGTCATTCTCAACTCCTTCCCCTCTTGTGAGCTCATCTTCATTGATTCTCTTCGCCAGTAGATTCATCATCTTGTTGTATTTCTCCCAAGTAATCTTTGTTCTCTGAGGTCTTGGTGCTGGGGTACCTTCAGCTGCTCCCTCGGCGTCATCGTGATCTGCCATTGGACTGTCACCATCCCCATTGCCTGGTGCAGGTGTTGTCTCTTCCTCGTCCTCTACCTCGATGTCATCCTTTTCAACACTGATGATTGACATTCGGAGAAGATTGAAGGCTTCAATGACCATGGGCTCTGTGATATCTTCGACGCAGTTGGCCTTGGCGATGGCTTCGCTCAGACGAATCAGACTTTCTAGCTGACGTACGGTGATACGATAGCTATTTCTGCCAACCCCACCAGAGTCATCTGCTCGAAGCTCTTTGTACTTCTCCACCAGCAAAGCTTTTGCCGATGGTGTGAAAGCTGGCTTGAACGTCTTCGCAAAGCGAATGTACCGCTGCAACTGCTCAGTCGAAAATTCTGGCGTAATTGATTCATCCTTCAATGCATGCAAGTTGACAATGTGGGTGGCAAGATGGCGGTCAATGGTCTCATTACACTCGTCTAGGATGACGAAAAACAAATCAAATCTTGACATAATCGGGGCTGACATGTTGATGTTGGCCCTGAGCGTGGTCTTCCGGTTGTATCTGCCACCTATCGGATTTGCTGCTGCTAGGATACTCGTTCTGGCGTTTAGGGTGGCGTGTATGCCAGCCTTTGCAATACTGATGGTCTGCTGCTCCATGGCCTCGTGGATAGCTACTTGATCTGCGATGTCCATTTTGTCGAACTCGTCAATGCAGCAAGTAGCGGAATCACTCAACATGAGTGCACCAGCTTCAATGGTGTGTTCCCCAGTCTCTTCATCTTTTACAACAGCAGCAGTAAGACCCGCCGCACTAGACGCTTTGCCCGAAGTGTAGACAGCTCGTGGGAGAAAGGAGGCAATGTATTTGAGAAATTGAGACTTTGAGGTTGAGGGGTCTCCCACGATGCAAATATTGATGTCACCCCTCAACGCCATACCCTCTGGGGTCATCTTCGACACACCGCCTAAGAGCTGTAACAGCAGTCCTTTCTTTACGATCTCGTGGCCATATACCATGGGTGCGAGGCTCTGTACCAAGCGGCTGTAGATCTTGTCGGTATGGACCATATACTTCAAGTCATCGACTTCGGCCTGTGTTAGTGTTTCGAGGTAGGCTTCCTGCGCCCGCTCGGCACTGTCATACAGGTCGAAAGCATCTGTTTGATGCAGGGAATTGAGAATGTTACTGCTGACTCCATTCAGCTGACTTGCCGCCTGGCCAGGGGTCGAAGTGTCTGGAGACGAGAAACAGGCCAAGAAGGCCATGCGATATGTCAAGTCACGTACACCCAGTGATTTAAGTCCGGACACACCTGCTCCTCCAACGTCACCACCACGAAAGTTCCGATTGTCGCGTGAAGCTTCCGGCTTGACACCAGGTATGCCCATCTGCGAGACATCGGGCACAACAATCAACGTGCCTGTAAAGATACACTTCTCGCCCGGCTTGGTCCTCTCAACCTGCTCACCTCGAAGGATGACATCCATCGTCCGCGGCATACTACCAGTTGGGATCTCGGAGCTGTTCTCTTGAATACGACATCTTTGCCAATCGACGAACGTGCTGTTCCTAATATCCAGCCGCCATGCCTGCTTATTGCCGCAAATGCCGTTGGGACAGATCGTAGGCTCGGTATAACGGAAGGTCTGCTCAATGTTCGGAACTACGGCATTGCAAGCCTCACAGACGAAAGTACCTAGCGCCAATTCAGGACGTACTTCGGATGTTCTTGTTACTGTCCCTGAGATAGACAAAAGTCTACCGATTTGATCGGTTCGTAGTTGTCGTACCCGCGAGACCAAGGGTAGATTGTAGAAAGCCAGTGTGAATATTTTGTCTGTCTGTTGATTGATTGTCTTCTCGCCTTGAGTATTGGCTTCGCTCGATGCGTTTCCAGTGAGGGAAGAGTTTGCTTGCGAAGAGGTACTGGTCATCTGCCTGTGGTCTTTGAAATAGACAGGCTCGTACTTCGCAAGTAAGGCATGGAGAGCTCGGGTTAAAAAAGGCAGGAATCGATAGTACTGACTTGCAATAGCATCTGCGAGTGTTGTGCCTTCTCTGTAGGCCAACAGATGTCTATAATCGACGTATAGTGTTGAAAGCTGAAATTCCCGGAGTCCATGAATTTGATTGATGTAGTATTTGTCGGTCTTCAATTCGCTCGATGGCGGCAAGCCAGATGAAGAAGGCTCTTCGACGTGGGCTTCCAGGAAATCCTCAAACGCCTGCTCCACCTTCTCCCCAGCTACGTCAATAACTTTTGCAACGTTTCGATCGAGTGGATTCCGAGCACGACCAGGTAAGCTGCCAACCACCTCATCGTCAGGAAAGACATCGGCTTCGGAGGGATGGCCATTGCTTTCTGAAGGGATGGGTTGGGGTCGAGAAGATGATGGTAGGTCTTGTTGTCTGCGCGCCGAAGACGGGGTGCCCGCAAATGCATCCGAGTGGATAATTGAATCTACAAGAGTCGACATTCTGACATGAGGATGCAATGGTTAATGAAAGGTCAAGCTTTCCTTCAACTTAGAGATTCCAAAAACTGAAAGGAGTCGCGTAAGGACGCGAAAGTGTAGCGCGTCGAAAGTGCTTGCATTAGCGTCGCATGTTCCTCGAGGTAGGGAAATCGCGTGTGCACTTGGACTAAGTGGAGACTGCGTTATAGACGCGTGAAATGATGGCAGTGTCATACATAAGATAATTTTTCTCGGGGCTATGGCGCCTATTTCGCAGGTTCAAAGGTCCCCTGAACTGTTAGAGTTTAACAAACTAAGTCAAGAAGAATTTCTAAAGAAAAGAGTGTATACAAAAAGATATTTCTCCCCGACGGGGAATCGAACCCCGGCCATCCGCGTGACAAGCGGATATCTGGATATTTTTAGTGATGATTTTTTTACGTTTCAAGTATTATTGTCTTACCATAACCACTAGACTATCAAGGATTATATGTATCAGATCCATTGCTATCAATTTTATAACAACTCTGCTAATAAAAATTTCTTTTTATAACATCGATCCCGATTATAGATACAACATCTACCAATATGTTCATCAAACTATGAGTCCTTTTGCGTTGACATAACGTATATAGTGCCTTATTTAGCGTGGCTATCTGTACGTAACAGTCAGATCTGCCTGCCAAATGCCCCTAACGACAAGGTCATCCTCACAATCGTCAACATTGTTGGATTCAGGGGGGTGCCGCAGGGGATAAAACTCCTATGACGCCTATCCAGGACCTGACTGACAGTTGTCAGCCGTCACGCATTTGTAAAAAACGCATTCAATTATGCACCAGTCTAACAGTAAACCCGAATAATGAATGTGACTTCATTCAAGCATGAATATCAGATCATCTTAAGTCCACAGCGTAGAAAGGATACAGGTAAGATTATAACTTGTACAATTATATTTCAGTAAACGTTTATTCACCACCGGACCCTCTATAATAAGGGCTTTCGGGGCCATTATCCATATTAGACTGATCGGTTTAATAACACTCCTGGTTACTTCATCCTTCAGCTCAATACTGCTTCCACATCGCCGTAATTTCCATTACATAAGTGGATATGATACACTATGCTAGGCAGAGCTGCCGGGTATGTTTTCGTGCTTGCTTCTCAGCCATAGTAGGCATTTCAAGAGTACAAAAGCTGCCAGCTTAGATGGAGGAGGGCAAATTAGAACATTTTGTGCGTTCTTTCATGGTTCTCCGCTACCCATTACTGATTGGATGTGGTTCAGAAGCCGTGGGTCGTTCTACCTGATATTTAGAGAACTTTTTTGCTGTAGTAAGAGAGGCTTAGAGTGGGAAAGGCGAAAGCCAAAGGAAAGGCGTATTAGTCGTAATTGACTGCATATCATATACAGTCAACATATTATGATCTTGGCATGGTGTTGATTGACCCTGCTTCCCCTCAACAAAGCCGTGACACGTCCCAAACAGCGTAGGGAGAAGAAGAGGAGATAAAGGGAAATCACAAAAAGGGATGTAAGGAATCAGCTGCTAGAAAATACCTTCTCTGTCACTTGGCTTGTTTCGGGAGTATTTTCCTTCTCCAAGATTGATATCAATGCGCCCTGTCCTCTACGCCTCCAACTCCGCCATACCCAGGGGAGAAATATCAGGGGGAAAAGCCATTCGCTGGACGTACAGACAGACAAATTCAATGGCAAACTCAATTGCAAACTCAATGACACCCGCATCTCGGCCAGTGCGCTCATTTCTTTTTCTCTATGGCAATCAATCATTGGGGATTGGCACCTCGGCCTCGGCCCAGGGTCCGGCCAGCATGTCGCGGGAAAAGACGGAGACATCGTCGCCCTCGGTCTGGTAGAAGGCAAAGAGGTCGTTGCCGCCGCTCGGGTTGGGAAGGGTAGTAACGCTGAGGTGGGTGCCTGGTAGGCCGAGGGAGCCATTGCCGGCGCTGAGGATGGTGAAGTTGTCGTTGGGGACAAAGGATGTGTTCTCCGAGTGCCAGGAGATGTTGTAGCCGTGGATGGTGTAGTCGGCAGACTGGGCGTACAAGTAATTTGTGTACCCAAGGGAGGTGGAGGGATGGAGGTTTGGGATGGATATTGAGGCTAGCAAAAGGGAGTTAACCACGAGAGGACAACAGGAGCTGTCTGTGGAAGACAGAGAGAACAGGAGAGAAAGGAGAGAGAGGCGTACTGTTTGTCCATTCGTTGATTGGGTGGCTGAAGTTTCCGGCCAAGCTGGTATTTGTGTCCCGCCACCAGATCTCAAGGGTGTTGTCGAGGTTGACCATGAAGACATATGTGACGCTGCCGGGGCCCCAGGAATAGCATCCGACCCCGGCTTGACCGTTCTTGTTCTGCCATGTGTCTTGGGGCACCCAATCGTCCTAGAGGCGCCGCAGTCAATAATAGCATGTTCACGTTGGGGTGTATATGTGCTAACCTCTCCATAGAGCCAGCCCAGTTGCTCAAAAGTGGTGTTACTGCTTGCATACCAAAGACGCACCCCAATTTGATCATTCGGGAGCCCTTCAGTGTTCGGTGCGTTAAATGCATCGCTCCTTTGGAAGCTCGAGTCGCCGTAGAAGTTGCCGAACCAGCAGGCCTGCAGTCCTATCCGGTCCGCCCTGTTGACCCTGAGGTTCCGTCTCGACAGCGGACCGTCACGCCATACGTTGGTCGTGTTGCTGTTGATCCGCTCGCGGAGTCTGTCGTCGACATCAACGTAGAAGATGTGCCAGATGGATGCTTCGTCCATAGAGTAGGCGACCGCGGATATCGGCGTCCCGTTCTTTGCATCGCGCGCTAGTGTCTCGCCGGCAGAGCCACCTTGCCAGGTGCCATCGCTCATCAGCTGGCTCCAGCGGAGATCGCCTGACCAATGCTGGTAGTACATGGTGATCTCGCCACGATCGTCCTGGCCAAAAGATTGTGATGCCAAGGCAAGTCCGGTCCCATTGAAGGCACCCGCAGTCGAGTAGTACTGCGGGTTCAAGGCGCCGCCAACGTTGAAGTCTGGATCACCGGTATTGGGCGGTGGACCTGTTGCTGTTGGTTGGGGTAGTGTAGTGTCTGTTGGCAGGGAGGTCGAATCATTAGAGCTAGGAAAAGCAACCATCAGCGCAGTCCACAATTGCCATGACTTGGTGCAGCGGAACATACGATGATCTGCGAGTCCCAAACACAACTCCCAGTGCTATAGCGAGGGCCACAATGATGCATGTTGCTAGACCAGCAGCGACAAGGAACCACTTCTTCGGCAAACCGCACATGCGTTTCCTAGGAGGATGAGCTGGCGGTGGTGCAGAAGGATCTCCTCTGCCATTATACACCTCCTTATCGTCTGTGCTGACAACAGAATCCAGTCCAGGAGATCCAATGACGGGAGGTTGAGTCGTTGCCGGCGAGGATGGTGGCTCTGTCCCCCTGGTCAGTGAGCCTTGGTGCGATACCCCGACTTCTCGGTATGTTTCCTGCGGCGGCGAGACCTGACGTGGAGCTTGCTGCGAAGTGTTGTAAAAGCTTTGCCATTCAGCAGGCAACTGAGTTTGAGCACCCGAGAACTGGCTGCTCATAGACTCGGGGGAACGAGTCTTTCGGTCCATATTGAAATGGTGCTCAGCTCAGTCTAGGAGAGAGTTTCGGGAGATTTGGGACACAGTAGCGATTCCGCCTGTTTGCGAAAAATGCTCGTGCCACCAACCCTCCTGCCCCGGCCCGCCTTGTTGGGTCTTGGTAACAGCTGTACGGGACACCATGGTGCGTACCCCGCCATTGTGGGAACGCCTCAGAAGGGTATTGATCAGCGATAACTTCGGGAAAGACACCTCGATAAGGCTGAGGGCCAATTGCAGATGCAGCACTTGGTGTTTTCATTGGGCAAGCCATGAATCCAGGAGGATGGTGAGCTGCCGCTCGGGGAAACGGATTGGGCGAGGCAGTCGAGCCAACATCGTGCGTGGGGGCCAGCTGCTCAGCTGAGTCAGCTCTTATCTCAACTGCTCACCATGCCTTATGTCACAGCCAGGATACCTCCATAGGATACCTCCACAGGATATCTCCAGCAGGTCATCGACATATTGAGTGGAAACCTGCCTATGGTAGGTGCAATACGGGCTGCGGAAAGCGACTTGACACCGAGACACAGAACTAGCAAACAAGAGACCAACAATCATAAGAGATGAACACATACGAAGAGGCGCAAAACGACTAACCCATCAGAGGGCTAATAGCACTTGGACCCATTTCGTTTTCATCTCCTCACTATAATAGGCTTGAAATTGAGGTAGTTAGTTAAGAACCCAAAATGATCTGAGCCTAAGTTCACGTACGTAAAAGAGCTGGAGCTGAGCCGCGCAGGGCAGGGTTTTGGCGGGGCTCAAAGCAGTAAAGTGTCCGTAAAGTGTCCGTTAAAATTCGAGCTTAGAAGGACTTCCCCCCCCTAAAGGTTAGCCTTGTTCTCCGCTCAAGATTTCGGTGGGACAATCTCCTTGAATCATCCTTGGATCATCCTGGATCATCCTTGGCTGATTCTTTGACTTTAATCCTCCATGAGCTCTTATTGGAAAAGATGGTAAGCTTGCTCTGAAATCCATGCACGCCGCTCAGCCAGCACTATTCAGCTCGTATCGGACCGTATTCCTTAGCGTCAAGACATTCTCCTTCGAGAAGGCGTTGATAATCACTAACTACACTTGTGGAATGGGTGGTTTTGAACGTCGTATGTGGGTAATAGCCACTCGGGATATATGATGCTGTTCCATCCATAGAATGGAACTCAATTGTTTATTGCTTTCGCCGCAATGGTGATGTCTATTGCTATGGTCTTGATGCACGGACGAAAAAACAGCGCCAGATGACACCAGGTTCTTACTCCTTTGCTGCAACTTCACGGCAACACCTGTATTTCGTATCGATCAGGTCGAGAATAATGTAGAGCTGTGCTTATGCATTGATACTACTAGTATGTATTGCTTCAGGGTATCAGGAACATTCGATTTCTATCTAGTTACACCGCTGCTTCCAAGCGAACCTCCGGCTGCTCCGAGTAACTGGCTTGTTCTTGCTCACATGTCTTCCTGATGGCTCTATTGATCCTCAGATAGCAGACTTCTCGGCCCATAATCTCCATCAAATCCGGTATTGGAGGGCCCGATGCACCAGACATCAACGACCATCGTAGGAAGTGGTAGATCTCTTTCCTCCAAACCTTGACGTTTTCCATTGCTTCATCGTTCGCTGGTTCCGTTTCTGACCCTGGCGGCTGGATGGCCACAATGTTGTCCCGATGAACAGCGGCAGTCCATTGCTGATCAGGGATCAGCAAGAACGATGCAGCCGCCACTCTGAGGGCAGAAAGCGGGCAATCAGGGTTCAATGGTGTGTAAGCGGGAAGCTCTTCTAACGGCTTGAAGAGGTTGGAGCTTCGCTGTGCAAAAGCTTCTGCCGTGGTATAGGACTTCCAATCTGCCCGAAGTATGAGCCCTACTACATCTTCTAGGCTTCGCCTGCCAAGTATTGCAGAAATATGGTTCTCGTCACAAATGTCATGCAGAAGACTGCACACTTTTTGGGCCATGTGATGGAACTGCTTACCGCCCTCCGCAATGTACTGACGCGCATATCGTTCTTGCAGGAATTGAAGCTTTGCGAAAGAGACCACCGTGTTACCTTTCGTGAATTTGAGATCGAAGATTTCTTCCAGCCGATTCAAGGAAAGGAGGTCGCTCCTTTGCTGGTGTGACCATCCGAGCAAAACTGCAAAATTGACTAATGCATCTGGGAAGATGCCCTGTTTGTCTCTGAAACTGGCGATGTCAGTATCGAGGTTGCGCTTGCTGAGTTTCTGGTTGTTCTGATCCACCAACAATGGTACATGGCCGAAGAGAGGAGGTTCCCAACCAAAAGCCTTGTACAAGGCTAAATGCATGGGAGTCGAGGACATCCACTCGGCGCCTCGTATGACATGGGTAATCTTCATGAGATGATCGTCCACAACATTCGCTAAATGATAGGTTGGATGGCCGTCAGATTTTATTATGATGGGATCATCATACACAGGATCGTCAATGAGGTTTTTGCGACCCTGCTGTCCTGACTTTCCGGTATTGCCATAGACGAAGTCGTGCCATGGAGGATACCTGTCTGGAGCTCTCAGTCGTACAACATGGCTTTCTCTTCGCCGTGCCCGGTCTTCAGACTGGTGCAGTGAAAGATGCGCGCAATTCCTGTCATAACCTAGTGGTAGGCCTTCCTCATGACGAGACCGGTTCAAGATGTCAAGGCGCTCCGCCGAGCAGTAGCAACGATAAGCAAGCTTCAACCTGAGTAACCTCTCTGCATGGTCTCCGTAAATTTTCGTCCTTTCTGACTGTCGGTATGGTCCATATGGGCCACCCACAAGAGGCCCTTCATCCCACTGCAAGCCGGCCCACTGTAAGTCCCTACATAGTTGCGCCTCAGCGCCAGGGATGGTACGCTTCTGGTCTGTGTCTTCAATCCGTAGCAGGAATTGACCTTTAGTCCGTTTCGCAAGGAGATAGTTGAACAGAGCTGTGCGAATGGAGCCGAGGTGGAGATTACCGGTTGGCGAAGGTGCGAATCGAGTTCGTGCTGGGTGGTCAGGCAGGAGATGCTTCGCCCGAGTTGAAGAAGCGTCTCTCACTAAGTTCAGACTCGGTCTGATAGACTTGACGCGACGATTTTCGAGGCTTTGGCCACATTGAAACCTACAGGAGCAGTAGACGTAGCGCGGGCTAGAGGTTTGAGGGCCCAGATACCTCATTCTAGGACAACGATGGCATTCTCTTCAGCCCTTGGGAATCATCGGCTGCGCTTAGCACAAGTAACACCAAAGGCTCCCAGCAACGCCACTACCACCACTTTGTCACGCTGCACCAACCACTCCGATGCGACATGTGCTGCGTTCTGTTGTCGTAGATACCATCAAAAGGCCTAGAATGCGCAGGCAGATTGTGGGAGATGATTCGTCCTCCGTCCTCCGCAACTTCTGCACAGCCGTCTCACCTTCCGCTTCTGGAGATCTTCATACATCACTCATAATTTTTCGGAGTGTTGAGTGTTGTCAAACTCACCTCCCCCCACAGCCGCAGTCAGAATGAACGGAAATACGGATCAAATCGATCTCTATGGTGAGCTACGTCCCTACGGCTCTGTATAGAGATACTGATACGTCGTAGAGATCCTGAGTGTTCCGCGAGATGCAAGTAATGCTGAGATCAAGAAAGCATATCACAAGGTTGGTTGTCCTGCTTGCCGAAGAGTCCCCTCAGTCATTAACATCATGTAGGCAGCATTAGCACATCATCCGGACAAAGTCGCCTTCGAAGATCGAGAAGCCGCCGAAGCCAAATTCAAAGCTGCCTCGCAAGCTTACGAAATCCTCCATGATGACGAGAAACGCGAGATGTACGATACGCACGGGATGGCGGCTTTTGACGGCTCAAGAGGACCGGGCATGGCGGGTGGCCCAGATCTAGAGGAGCTCTTTTCCTCGATGTTCGGTATGGGTGGCATGGCCGGCATGGGAGGCGCCAGAGGAGCGCGGAAACCGAAGAAGAGTCCAAGTGAGCAACAAAAGTATGAGGTGACATTGGAGGATCTCTACAAAGGCAAGAACGTCAAGTTCAACTCTTCGAAGCAGATCCTGTGCCCAGCTTGTAAAGGAACCGGGGGCAAAGAGAAGGCCAAGGCAACAAAATGCAGCAACTGCAAGGGTCAAGGTATCCGCCAGGTGTTGAGACAAGTTGGCCCAGGAATGCTCACGCAGGAGACTGTCGAGTGTTCGGCTTGCGGCGGTCAGGGAGAGGTGTTCAATGCTAAGGAAAAGTGCAAGAAATGCAAGGGAAACCGGACAGTCGAAAGCAAGACCCAGCTCGAGATTTACATCCCACGCGGCGCCAAAGAAGGAGATACCATCCTTCTAGAGGGTGAAGCAGACCATGTCCCAGGTGCACAAGAGCCAGGAGATCTCATCTTCCACCTTCAACAGCTACCTCACCCCACCTTCCAACGCGCTGGGCCAGACCTATCCGCAAAACTCGAAATCACTTTGGCCGAAGCACTCACCGGATTCCACCGCGTTGTCGTACAGCACCTCGACGGTAGAGGTATCGAGCTGCAGCATCCCAGGCAAGAAGGCCAGATCCTCCGACCTGGCCAAGTGCTTCGGATACCCGGAGAAGGCATGCCCCACAAACGCAGCGACGCCAAGGGCGACCTCTACCTTACTGTCGACATCCAATTCCCACCCGATGGCTTCCTCAGCGACCAACAAGCCCTCGAGCAACTCCGCTCAATCCTCCCACCACCTCCCCCACCAGTCCAAGCCGACGAGGTCGATGAGGTGGACTACGAACCTAACGCTTCGATGGAAGATTTCGGCGGCCGCGACGCAGCAGAGGGATGGGAAGATGAGGACGACGAGGCGCGTGGCCCGCAAGCCCAGTGTACGCAGCAGTGATATGGTTGATAACTTTTAACATGACCGGTAGTGGGCCACAGATAGCATCATAGCGGTACCAGTGGTGGTTCGTGTTGTGCCCTCTGGAAGCAAGCATAGCGGGGCGTTTCGGCAAATGATGAGACTGGGCTTGGGTAGTCTTTGTTACGCAGAACATAGACTAAATGGCTTACTACTTTATTTTCATGCCAATACACGTGCTCGAACACCGACCAAATTTCACTACTTACTCCCCGAGCCCCTGACACCTGGTGAGTGTTCAGCCTACGAATCTGAGGAGCAGGAGGCCTCCATGACGCCAGGCGCGTTGCTCAGCATATCGCCTGCCTGCCCCCCTTTACAGCTACTTCACACTCACGAGGCGCTCAAGCGGAGAACTCTCCAGGATGATATGGAATATGGAGATGTGATTGCGCTAAGCTAAGCTCGAGCCAAGTGCCAAGTATTTCTTCTGGGGGAAGTTGAATGCTCAAGGGGCTCGGAGATGTTTTTCTGTGTGAGTTTCCAGTTTTCTGATCTTTTTTTTCTTCTTCTCTGATTTAGGGGGTTGTGGTTGTTCGGCCGTGATTCGTAAAAGGTAGGAGGTCGTGAGGTCGTGAAGCTCATTTGTCGTGAACCCATGCCGAAAGCTTGTGAGCCATTGGAGTCTTGAGAGCATGAGAAGATTTTGAAGAGCACGGGAAGCTTTTGAAGAGCACGGGAAGCGATTCCTTGAGATGAGAAATGTAAAAGAGAGAAGTGGATTAGGTCGTCGCAAGGTAGAGCCATCCCATCCCTTGCGCTTGTTGTCCTGTCAAAACATGCGATGTGGCTACACGAATGACGGAATTGGCACTCTGGTTGGGGCTCCACTGTCGGATTGATCGTCGTCATCGTCTTCGTCCTCGACGAAGATGAAAGGGTCGGCAACGATTTTGTCCTCGTGGCCCTCATTCCAATCGATCGGGCCGAAGAGACGGAGCAGTTCTTCAGTCGATAGCTTGCCCGGCCGGTTCTTAGCAGCCATAGCTAGGTCGATTTCCGAGGTCTTTCGTGCTTGCATGGCGAGAATGTCATCATCGATGGTGTCTTTGGCCACTGTAAAGAGAAAGTCAGCATGCGCAGAGACACTGCAGAGAATGCATGAGCATACCAATGCGGCAAATATCAACTGGCCGGTCTTGTCCGATGCGGAAACAGCGGCAAAAGGCTTGCGACTCAACAGATTCGTTCCACCAGAGATCAACAATGATCACTTTCGATGCCATGGTCAGGTTGAGGCCAACGCCACCAGCTTTGAGCGAAGCGAGCAACACTTTCGTATCGTTTTTCTCTGCGAAGTCCAAGATCGCCCTGTCTCGAGCTGCAAACGACATACCCCCATGAAATTGAGACCAGCCCCATCGTTCCTCTTGCATCATGCGAGCTAGAATCCGAATCATGTCTCGGAATTGAGTGAAGATGATAATTTTACAAGTCGGATCTTCTTCCACCCAATTTTGTATCTGAGCTTTGACTGCTAGAGTCTTTGCTGAGGGAAGAATGGAGCCGCCTACAGAAATCCAGTCAATATCACTATCGGCGCTATCTGCAGACCTTCGAGCTCGGCGAGCCTGCCCTCCAGACACAGGAGAATTGAGCTGCTTCCGTGCCTCATTGAAACCGTGGCAAGGTTCGGTGTGCTCGAACATTGCATCACATGCGAGGCAGTTGGCTTTATCTTTGTTGGTCTTACTCGCATCGAAGAGCATAGCTTGTAGACACTCTTTGCAATAGACATGATAGCAGGAAGTGACATGAGGATTGTCCGGGATACCTCCACACTTGTGGCAGAGAGATCGCTGATTCATCAATGCCCATTTCCCACTTTCTTGCAGAGTGCGCAGATACTTTCTGAACCTGAAAGCAGTACCGAACGTGCCACCCAAGTCATCAGCTGCTTCTTTGGCATTAGCCTCATTCGTATGGGAGTCGGCCGCATCCGGTTGGACCGTCTCGTTGGTGAGTGAATCTTGAGCATCTTGTGCTCGTGAAAGCATCTTCCTTAATTGTGTAAGCATATTCTGACTGCCACCTTCTCGTTGGGGTTGCACTTCATCTTCGGTCAACCGCCAAAGCTTTTCGAGGTCCTCACCCTCCATGAGTTCTTTTAGGGTCTGCTGAATTAGCAGAATGTGACCGGTCAACTGGCGTAGTCGCAGGTAGAGGACGAAGATGCTCTGAAAGTTTTTGTCCAGCTCCCCAGATCTGGCGTACATACGAATCTTCGCAACAAAACGATTCTTCACGATCTTATAGACTGCCTTCTCACAGTCGTTGAACTCAACCGAGACAGTTTTAGTCGTGATCCCGGGCAACTGGAGCAGAGGGCGGCCAAAGATTGTGTCGAGATGAGTTCTTCTAATCATGATCTGCCGCAGCAAAGTCTGGAGTCGACGGTCGGTTGTCTCGTTACGCCCAGCAAAATTGTTCTTAAAAGTTTCAAGGCTGCCCGTGTGAGGAACCTTTAGGAATGAGAAGAACGGGAAGAACTCTTCAAGATTGTTCTGAACTGGAGTTCCACTGATGGCCCAACGATACTTCCCAGAGAGGCTTCGAATAGCCACAGAGGTCTTCGAGCTATGGTTCTTGATTGCTTGTGCTAATCAAAGGTCAGCAACATCGATCATTCACAGAGGAGAAACGTCAAACAAACCCTCATCTAGGACGATTCTGCGGAAGAATATCTTGTGCAAGACGCCGCGGTTCGCATTGAAATACTCAGCCCACCAACTTGCCTTCGCGTCTGGAGTGACCAGGTGCATTGGTGTTTTGCAATGAGGATAGCTGCGCAGTACCTCGCCATACGATGTAATGACAATATCCGTGTTGGATAAAGTCTTGGTAGGATCGGCTGACTCGAGCCGGGATCCAGCACGGTAAATAATGGTCTCCTGGAAAGTTCCTGGCATGACATGCTTTTTAATCTCACTCAGCCATTGCGAGCACAGCCCTGCCGGACAGACGATAAGAGTTGTGCGATTTGGACTCTTCGGCGGTGCCTGCCCATCAACAATATTTGCTAAGCAGGTTACTGTCTTTCCCAATCCCATCTCGTCCGACTGAAGCCCACCATACGGTCGCGTTGAAGAGTTTTCGCGATCTCGCATGAATGCTGCCCCAAGCAGCTGATAGTGATACAATGACGTTGCCATACCTCGAAGACGCCAACCGTTATTACCATCAGCCTTCATTGCGGCATGTCCGGTGAATGACCTGGTAGCTTTGTCAAGAGCGTTCTTGTCAGCATTGTGTGTGGTTCTCTCCGACTCTGGGATGCTGGCGATCAGCTCTGCCAGAGCAGTCTTCTTATTGGTTGAGGTAAAACCTGGCTGTGCCGCCTTTCCAACGTTTGCCTGAGCTGCTGCAACGATATCATTGTTGAACAACGTTTCCATGTTCAGCATCTCAGGCCCCTTACGCTTCCTGCCTCGTTTCGGCTTTGGTCCACCTTCGGGGTATTTCTTGTCTTTCGCTTTTGACACACGGGTCTTCGGACTTTTTGGCGTTTTATTCTTCCCCGTTCCTTTAGGCTGACGCTTCCTGCTTGCATCCTTGCGGCCCTCGGCCTCAAGAGCAGCATAGCCAATCCGCGTAGCATCCTGTAAAGCAGACTCTGGAATCTTGTTTGGCCGACCTCTATGCCTTTTCGGAGCTGCCGGGGTGCCTGAGCCCTCTTCCTGTATAGAATTGTTCATTGGAGCGGAGAGAGTCCGTTCGGAAAGAAAGAGCGCGTCATCATCGTCGACTCCTGAGTCTATGTTTTCATATGCTCGTTTTCTTGAGTTGAGCTTGAGTCGATGCTCTTCTGCATTTCGAGCTTTTGAGAAAGCAATGTCGTCCTGCACCGAGTTCTCACCATTCTTTTTCTTGCGCTCGTAACTTCTTTTGTAGGACTTGAAACGAGCCACCGCTGAGGCATCTTCGGCTTCAGTGTCGAGCTCAATAGGAGAGAAATGATGACCTGTCTCGACAATCTCCACATCACCATCGTCATGGGGCTCAGCTGGTCCGGCTGGTGTAGAAGATTGTGGAGTAACCGTAGTAGGAGATTTGATGATCAAGCTTCGCCGAAACAAGTCTCCAGCCTCTTCTAGGCGCCGCTCATTTTCTGCAGCCTGAGCAGCACGCTCCTTTGGAGTCTTGAATAGCTTTTTCGTGAGAACGACACGTCGGGGTTCGTTTGAGTTTGAATCAGCTGTTGAAGCGATGGAACTATCTGCACCACAAGCTAAAGTATTGGTACTGCAGCCGGAGGCTGTGTCAGATATCACAAGACTGGTACGTTCTGTCGGCTCCGGTATGGCGCTTTGGTCAACTTGAGGGACTGGATCATGGGCAGTGGATTCTTCGGGAATGTTGGAGCAAGATGAATTTGGCTCCTCTTCACACTTTGGTGTGGAGGGCTCCCGTACCATATTGGTGTTGGTAATGTCAAGGGAAGCTGGTACCATAGTAGCGTCATCTGAGGTAGTACAGGACTCCGGATGAGCGTTACGACAACTGGGAGCGTTTGTCGACGGGCTTGCGTTCTGCTCGTCTGTTCCATCTAGAATGTTGGGTGACGCCATGTTGAGTGTGAGCCAGCGTAGATGATAAGATATGCTGGCCAGGTCAGTAAGCGTTTAAGTAAGAAAGGGAATGTAGCAAGTGTTGAAATAATGTAGAGGGTGTAGTGATGGCCAAGCTGAAGTAGAGCATAGGAGGACTGAGGGTTCTAGAGCCGACCGAGATAGTGGGGGATCACAAAGGAAAGTTTGCCTAATGTACAGGATACCTAAAAGTTCGGACGATGACTTACAAATTCTGTGGATGTTTACTATTCAAGACTCCGGTGGAGATGATGCGAGAGTTCCAAGGCAGTCGGGGGGTCACAAGAAAATGAGAGACGTAACTAGTGAAGCAACGGTTTTGAGAGAGAGAGAGAACAGTAATAGATGGAGATGTTTGTTGGTGGAGAGATTGTGGTTGCAAGTGAGCTCAGAAGAGAGAAGTCTTCTTAAGCAGAAGCAACTTCAAGATGAACAGACTAACCCTATTGGGAGGTAAGCTGTTTGAAAAAGAGAAGAAAAAGACTCCGAAGATAGCTTGAGGCGGAGTAATAGAGCTGATAGTTGGGTAAGTCCTGATGTAACGCGAATAATGAGCCAAGTTGACGATCACACAACTGCAAGGCCAAGAATGACCTGTCCTCGAGGAAGTCGAAAGAGATTCTTGAAGAACCTTGACTAGAATGAGAAAAGCACTTGTCGAAGCTTGCGATGCTTGAGAGGGCGGTACTTACTAAGGAAAAGATCCTAAGAGCAATGAACTAAGTGAACTTTATAAGCTTGCTGGAGGGGCGCTGAATGGTTGTCCCTTCGAACCAGGTTGAGAGTCTAGCGCTGGAGGTATGGACGTCCACACTGCTGTGATGCCTCCTTGCCAAGGCAGAAGCTGCACTGGTGTTCAAATCAAGTCGAAAAATGCGCTTGAGTTCGGTCTTGTCCGGCGGTTCCATAACGAGTTCACGAAGCAACACAATGAATCCAGTGCTCACCTCCAGATAACGTGGCAAGCACGGGTAATTGCTCTGATACTTGCGCGAGTACTGCGACCTCAGGAAAACATTAATCACATGCTAACTAATGTACTTGACGACATGTAAAAAAGATAGTCCATATCGGGTAGACTCGCAAGCTGCCCTAGGAACGACCAGCGAGCGAACGCCAATCGTTATCATATCTGTGTAAGATGGTTGACAAGACGTCGTCGGGACTCTTCTCACCAGTCATAGATAAGGTATCTGAGCATAGAACGTTTGGGTAGACAATCGAAGGGAAGACACCGGCTGGTCGTGATTCCACGGAACCATAAGACATGGCTCTCTCCAAGGAAATAGTGCAGATTGGTAGCCCGGGCTTTCTCCGGCCATAGTAGTTCAATAACCAGAGATATCGAGGGCCGAATTGATCCTCTGACTCCTGGCATTTGGAATCAGCCAGAGTCTGAACAGCATCTATTCAAGTCACTATGCAAATAAAGCGTTAGTCTTAATCCAACGACCCCAATTATCCATCCATAGCCGGATCCAGTGGTGACTTTACCAATTTTTCTCCTGGCTCGGCCGTAGGCTTATGATTTCGATCAACGGGTCTGATCGGAGGTGCTCATCATAATAGGCACCGACCCCGAAAAGCTGAGGATCCTTGAACTTTAGGGAGCCATCAATCGTATTTGCGCCAGGCACAGCCTGGATGTGGCCTTCAATTATGCTAGCGAGCATCTTTTGACTATATGTATTGTGTGGAGAACAATTTCCAAGCCCGATACATCCTCTGCAAGAGTGATGTGTGTCATGCTTTGGGTCCCTTGCGTTATAGCACGACTGAGATGCGAAGATGACAAGCAGGATACCAGCAACAGCAATGTAGCCGACCAAAAATTTATGGGATGTAGCTGGGAGGCAGTGTATCGGCTAGCTGGAGAAAGTCGTCAGATTTAAGGGGTATCGACTGTGGCCCACCTGAAAATCGCTGGTTGGCCACAACTCGGTTTGCAGCTGGCGCAGATAGAAGTCTTACCCCCATCTTGGAAGACGTCAGGTCGATAGAAAGGCCCATGTTCTGTTTCGGGTGTTTAGGACAAAAGGATGTCAAGGTGTTGTTCTTGACTCAACGTATAGTTGTAGGGCTGCAGTAATAATAGTGAACATCTATGTTAGGCGGTCATGCTTATCCTTCACCATAATTAAGTATATCGGTTTCGCCACGTTGGATGTTCAGCGACTATTTTTCTTTGCCAGCTGTGAATCAGAATGAACAGTCCCTGCTAAAGAAGACAGGCACCGTAGCCACGATAGAGGTCTCGTTCGACCTGTCTTCGATCAATTGCGTCTTCCACCACAAACTGAAATCACTTGGGAGAAAGTTGTCTAATCAGCACCCCTGATTGGCGCTCAGACGCGGCATTGCAGCCTCTCGCAAATCAAAGCACTCGGACAACCGTGTTTCCATAACCAAAGACCCGGAAGGCGCAGCAGGAAGAGGTATTCTGTATAATACATCTCGTATCTGGCTGAGCCAATCACCCGCACGCTGCTGTTGAAATGTTCTCACGATGCATTTATAGTATGGTATAACATGATGTTTTCCGAACGGTTTCAAAGATTGCCAGCATGTGATACGATATTCTGCAGTCCTAGGCATGATATAGTATTGGTCGTGCACCGGCTACCTGAAAATACCTGTCTTGGAAGCTAGCATTACAAAGTCTGTACGAGTACAGAGTACCACAGTGTTGAAGAGGTTGCAAAGAAGTCGGTTCCAAGTCGTTCCATATTCTCTCTTAGAAGTCGATCAACAGCTTCAAGGGCGATCCACGGATACCTAGCGATGCTGAAAGAATGGTGGGGTAACCTCGTTGATGCTGTGAAAGTGCGATCGTTGGTGGCAGACATTGATTGCTACGAGTGGAAGCGTCTCACAAGAATCGGGAGATGGCGGAGGAGCAGGTTGCCAATGAGGTCAACGGCCGGAGGGCCGTCCGGGCTCGGGGAATAGTTGGTTAAAGTTCAACGCCAGTTAGCCCTGCTATATGCAACCGACCACACTACTTATGGTTAGCTGCCGAACCATTTTCACCGCTTCTTCCTTTCATCCACATGTACTCTGTAGAGAGCATTAGATAAGTGGAGGCACTGATGTGAAGAGCTGCACATTCTCGATTCTCTATTCTCGATTTTCGATTCTCGATAATGATGCCGAGGTCGAGCTCTCTTCTCGTCGCTCCTCAATTTGGAGGGATTTACCTTGCAGCACAGCTCTTGTTCTAACCCCCGGCACGATGCCCATGATATAGCAATGAGAAGCCTTGGATTTGGTTGATAGACAGGTCCGTCGTCGCCATGCTAGGCAGGCTCTTTGGTAACGCTGCCCCATCCGTCAATACGGCTAGCTATTCCCGCGACTCCATTGTTGACGAGGAGTACACACGTGGCCTGCTGTACCCAGATTATGCAGCTCCACAACATGGCCCAGCCTACGTGTCCCAGCTTGGACCTGGGCGAGTGGGAGACTTTGACGAGTGGGGTGGCCTTGAGCTTGATGCTCTAAAGGACTTTAGGATAATGGTCGCGCAGGATGCTCTGGGGGATTCCGAGGAACCTTGCATACTATTTGATACACAACACTCGCAACAACCTGAAAGTCCGATAGACACGACTTCACGTACTGGAATTCTTCAGGCTCCAACACATCGGAGAGGAGGTTCGACAACATCTACTCTGAGGTCACCAACCAGTCCATTGGTATCCAAGCCACAGCCGAGAATACCTCCAAACAGTCCCAATATGTCGTTTCCTGTGCGCAATAGGAGCTCGACTTTCTCAGGAGCGTCTGACGAGCATGATCCTCGGCAAATCCGAATCTCGGATTCCAAAAAGGAAGAGAATCGAGACATCCTGTCTTGTGCCTTTGGCAGCTCTGCTGGTGCTTCTTCCGGAACGAAGATGCATTTCCTATCGCTGGGCTCTGGTACGAAAGAGCTTCCGGCTACGCCTGTCTCGCCCAGCGTAGGTGGCAATATTTCTGCTGGCTACTTCCGCAAGCGGGAGCCTATTGCTCGTGCCCATACATCGGCCTTGTCCGGTTTTAGACCTCCTTTACACGAGCGGTCTTATTCATCTTCAGGCGCGAAACCAGGAATCACTGATGCAGTTCTGATAACCAAGCTTTTCAGTGTGAACTTGCCTGAACCGATGGACCTGCAAGCGCTGCACACATCGACAGCATCACAGGGTGGCAGTGCAATTCCAAATCACGAAGATCATTCTGTTCATAAGTCTGCGACCAAAGGCAAGAAGCCTCGAGCGAAGAAAACACCCGTCTTCGCCATCATCCTCATAGTCCAACTACCAGCCAATATAGGCACTATGTCAAGGCCATCCTCACGGGGAGGTATGCAGACTCCTCCAACATACACTTCGATGCGATCCTTCCGAAATTCGTTCAATTCTCAGTCAACCTCGCCCAAACTCATGTCTTCCGCCCATTCGAGATCGATAGACCGTGGAGATGCTCGAGTCAACGCACTAGTCGAACACTGGGACATCATTGACCGAGCGCTAACATTGCTGGAGAACGTCTCCACGCCGAAGATTCTCAATCATCTTAAGGAAGTGGATAGTTTTTCGGCGGCTTTCGTCTCCAAGCCCTCGAAACCGAAAGAGAAGACTATGCAACGTACGAATCAAATCAATATCTACCTATCCCCTCAGATACTGGGACGAGATCCAAAGCTCAAAGATATCGCAATCCAGACTATACAAAGGATTCGAAGAGCCCTAAGGATACCAAGAGTCACAATTGGACCAGGGCGTTGGGGTCTGTGGAATGACGAACTGATCAGAGTCGTCCGATGCCAAGGTGGCAGAGAGCAGAGTTCCTTTGTTGGGAAATTACTGACTGCCTTTCTCGGAACGCACACTGCCGAGTGGATGCCATTGGTCGCACCTTCAGGGCATCGTCGTCAACACTCTATCACACGCAAAACAAATGACCTAGATGTGATATCTACTCGAACGATTATCGTCAGCAATGATCGATCTGCTGCTCGCAGACTCATTTTTCTCCTGGCTTCATTCCTCATTGGCGACTTTTATGCTGAAGACAATCCCACTCTTTGTGGAGGACCGGGTTCCGCTGTTTCCTTACGAAACACCCTTCATAACTCTCCCTCCACGGAATTACTGAAAACGTCGAATGACAGCGACTCCCCTGAAGAACAACTCAGTGGCAGTCCGGGCTGTTCCCAGGGAGGGCTGCTGATCACTAGAGGCCTTCAGCACAAACCTTCCGACATCCGATCAGTCAAGAGTATTCCAATACCTGCCAATGATCTTAGTCTGAGGAAAAGCAGCGCTGCAACGACATCGACTGTAACACCTGATCCTACCACCCCAGTACCTCAATTTTCGTCTTCTTTAGATACACAAGGCGGCTACGTCCCGAATGAATCGAGCGCTTTAGCCAGACTGACCAAGATCTGGCAGACCGCCAACAAGGATAGTGAATCAGGCGGCTCCCTTTTGAGTGGATTCTGGAGTAAGGACTCCTCAGGCACCACCAGTGGTAGCACAGCTCCTTCGGCTTCTTCCAGCATCAGGGTCAAGAATGAAACTGCGTTAGACACTATGGTAAGGGAACTTTCTAGCGAGAGCAATTCTGCGACTCCTGTACTGGCCAACGAGTCAGCCCAATCATTTGGAAGTTTAGACTCAGAAGCCTTGCCTCTCAGATTACAAGTCTATCCTGGTGAAAAGGTTATTGACGTTGACATTGGCCTTCCTGGGTTCCTTAGCTCTAGTAATGATTCTGGTCTTGCTTCGCCACCCTTCCGCAACATCCGGCATGTATCGTCCGCTGCAAGCCTTGACAGCCTTGCGTCTTCCATGCGTCATGGCTCTCCTAAGGCGGGAAGCAGGGCGCCAAGTCGTGTTGCAGGCTTCCTCCCAAGGTTCCATCCGGACTATAGCCTTCAAGCTGTTAGAGTCAGCAAGTCGGATCTACCGGATATGGTAGAAAAGGTGAAAAGCGCAATGTTGTCGGAGCCTTATCCTCAACAAACAACAACGTCCGGCTGGGTTGATGTTGCTACCACATTGATAGCGAATGTGCAGACTGCATCTGTCAAGAGACTCCGGTTGAGGCGGAAGGTCTCCCAGTCAAGCTATAACAAGGGTGATGGCACTGCAGCTGCGGCTCCCAACGCTGAACGTTCCACTACCCCATACCCCATCAAGCCTTGCGCGACGACGTGCAGTGAGTTTGTACAAGAGGAAGCGTTCTCCTATGAGTCTGTCGTCGACTTTGATCCTTTACTTATAGAAGTCGTTGATCGCATCCTGGCACGTGGAAGTGCTCATGGTTCTAGAAGCATTTCTCCAGCGGGCATCGGCCACTCTAAGCACGTGTCCACCGGAACGAACGACAGCTTCAGAAGAAGCAACAAACAGTCCATGTTAAATGGCCAACCTTCTCTGGAAAGATTTTCTCGTGGCCCCACCAATAACTTGGTAATCGGAGCACTGGAGGACGTTGTCAAGACCGTCAACCACGACCTGTCAGAAGCGCTCAATGGACATAATGCTACCACACCTACGAAGGAGTCAGGCTCCGCGCAAAGGAGAAAGTCTCAAGATAATGCTCTCAGCGAAGGGGTCAGGAGTTGGCTGCTGAATGCAGAGCATGCTGCTGTCTGGTAGTATTGTATGCTGGTGGCGTCTTTCATTACTTATGGATCTGCGGCCGAACTTTACAGGCGATTTGCTGCGGTGTTTTCTGCGTTTTGATACCCATTTGCTTTCGTGATAGCTAGCTCTACGTTGGTAGCAATGCAGCAAGAGTTCTACGTCTGGTAACAATGCAGAAAGTCCATAGATGCAGCGTGACATGAACTCTCTACACTAAGTAGCGGCATGCTGAATTGTCGGCAGTCACGCAGTCTTAAGCATCTGCTCTCAAAATACGAATTAGCTACTATCCACTGACAGGCCTGTCTATTTCATGGATGAAGGGGACTTTCCTTTGAGTGACATGTATAGAGTGGTTCTGCATGATTGCACAGTTACAATAGCTACTACGGAGTACTCCATGACGATCTGTAGACGCCGCTTGGGTGCCCCGAAACTGTATCAGCCAAATTAGTTTACTTAAGGGTCTTTCCATCCAAAGGTTTCCCAAACCCGAACCCCCAACGAGCGCTATTTTAAGATTTGGTGCCTGGCCTAAAGGACACGTTACGCACCCTACATCGCGACTTATTGCGCATCTCAACGTCCTTGAAATAATGCAATCCTCCTTTATCATGGGCGCGTTCACCGTTCTCTTATACTAGCCTATTCACAGCGACGCGGTTTCTAATCCTATCAGTCCAATCTCAATGCTCTAGCACAAACCTTAGATGGAATGGGCAAGTGGCGTTATGGGGTCATCCTTGATGCCGGTTCATCTGGCACTCGAGTACACATTTACAGATGGCTTGATAGTGCGGTAGCACGGCAATCTTCGAACGAGATCGAGCTACACTCACTACCTTCTCTTGAAACGCATGGTAAATGGACCAAAAAGATTCACCCAGGCGTTTCTTCCTTTGGCGAGACTCCAAGTCTAATCGGCCCTGACCATCTACAGCCCCTTCTCGAACATGCCCTCGATATTGTACCCAGTTATGCTGTCCGGGAAACACCAATATTCCTGCTTGCCACCGCTGGCGTGAGGCTGCTGCCTGACATCCAAAGAAAGGAGCTGCTGAAACAAATTTGCGCCTACACCCGAACACGTTCTCATTTCCTTCTACCTGACTGTGATCTTCATATTCAAGTCATTGCCGGCGAGACTGAGGGACTTTACGGTTGGATAGCAGCTAATTACCTCGTTGGTGGCTTTGACGCTCCAGAAGCGCACAATCATGGCAAAGGGCACCATACCTACGGCTTTCTGGACATGGGTGGAGCTTCAGCCCAAATTGCTTTCGCACCCAACGCCACAGAGGCACAGAAGCATGTCAACGATCTCAAACTCCTCCGCCTGCGCTCAATTGATGGGCGGGAAAGTGAGTACAAAGTCTTTGTGACAACCTGGTTAGGATTTGGAGTGAACGAAGCACGACGGAGGTATGTCGCATCGCTTGTTCAATCCAGTGGTGGGGATACTGTCTCCGAGCTACCCGATCCATGTCTGCCCGCTGGTCTCAAAACAACTTTGAAAGGCGTTGTCTTATTAGACGCTGCAACTGTACCGGCTAAAGAACCTTACCTGCTGGGCATTGGCAAATTCGATGAATGCCTGCGCGCCACATATCCACTGCTTGACAAGGACGCCCCTTGCGAGGATGCGCCGTGTCTGCTTCATGGAGTGCACGTTCCTGCCATCGATTTCGACGTAAATCACTTCATTGGCATAAGCGAATACTGGCATACCACTCACGAAATTTTCGAGACCGGCTACAAGAATAAAGCACATGACTTCAACACATATCAGCAGCGGGTCAACTCGTTTTGTCAGCAGGATTGGGCCTTGATTCAAGCAGGTATTGCTGATCACAAGTGGGGGAAAAAAGTGGATGAGCAGAAAGCATACGAAGCGTGCTTCAAGGCCTCTTGGCTAATCAACATACTACATAATGGCATCGGTATTCCTCGGGTTGGCCTGGAAGACGCGGCTAGCAGCGATCACAATGGCACAAGGGAAGTCATCAAGCAAGGGAAAGAGAAGGATTTTTTGGAACCATTCCAAGCTGTGAATAAGATCAAGCATACTGAGGTCAGCTGGACACTAGGTAAGATGGTGCTCTATGCAGCTTCACAAGTCCCTCCCCTCGATGAAGGCAGTTTGCCTGTTGGGTTCGGAAGCAATGAGCCTGGGATTCCACTGGACTTCCAATACCCTACAGGAGCGACTCATCCACTCGTTACGAATTCTAGCCATCCTAACCTGGAAGACGAATCAGAAGGCGAGCTGATTCACAACACGCTCTTCAGCTCCGATAGCCGACGCCGCATTCCGGGTTTGCTAATGTTCTTATTTATCGTGCTCATAGCGTTCTTCTACCTTTGTGGCCGTGATAGACGATCTAGACTGTATCGCAACATAATCGGTAGTCCAGGGAGGAAGCAGAGTCTATTAGCCAGCAGGGTTCCCTTTTTGTCGAGATGGAACAGGGCTTCGTATGAACGCGTTCTTGAAGATGGAGAAGGACTGGAGGATCCCAGTGACCTGGAATTGGGTGATATTCAAGTAGACGATTCTGAACAGGAGAGGGCGCGAGCAGCTGGATGGGACACGCCTCGCAAGAAACCCCGAGCTGGAATCATGGATCAGGAGGTGATGGATCGGAGCGGACTGGTGGTAAGGACTGAAAGTCGAGAACGACTGGCTTTACATAATGGGAGGAAAAGTAGGACAGGTAGTCCAGCTCGCATGAAAGCCAGTTTGACGGCGCTTGTAGAGCAATAACGCCATTCTATGTTCTTACATTTTATGCTGCTACCATTGGAAATTGTCACCATAATTCAAACTTGCAGGCCTCAACATTTGTATTACAAGGTTAGCGTAGCCACCAGAACCTTGACGAAATTACAGTGCAAAAGCCATAGTCACACGAGCAGGAACCAAAGAAGAGTGACGGCGAGTACATCGGTTCCCTTATTTCATCCGTCGAACCGGTCAAAGATGCGACCATCTTAAACTACTAGAATTATCGAGGAAGGTCATATCAATCCATCAACTCGTTAAATTGTCGCCGACTCCACCCGGCGACGCCATTCTGGACTCAACCGAGTTTGAGGGGAATTTTTGGGCGTCAGCATTTCGATGAGCTCAGATGTCGGCTTGCGAGCTACAATGAGCTCTGAATTATCAACCACGGTGTCATTACCCTTTTGCTGAGGATGCGTATGCAAATTCCCAACAGTTTTAGGGAACGTCATGTTGATTTTAGGACATCCCAGATTTAAGGATAGTCCCCTGCATCCCAACTAAAATGAGAACGTATAGTAAAAAGCACAAGTCATCATGACACTTTGAGCATATCAGCTACGTTCCAGCAGTCCCGCGTCAACATGGCTGCAAGTCAGAAACCGATTCGAAGACAGGTTACCGTATGGGTACACGACGACAGCTTCTCTAAGGATGAGGTGCTCGTTGCGTCAGACATCCTTGGGGAGGACGGTCTACCTCCTAATGCGCTCATGGAGATAATTGCGCTGAAGCAACCGTCTAACTTTCGTGACTCACGGGATAATGCCCAGATTGACCCAGACAGCTTTGGAGATACCGCAATGCATTCTGCTTCCAAGATCCCAAGAGCGCGTCCTGGACAGCATCTTCAGGCTGAGCACCTTAGCAATCTTTCTCAAACTACTGCCCAGAATGCAAGACTTGCATCTGATCCTCGCACACGCTACGTCTTCATCGCAAAGCCAATGTCTCTGGACATCCGATCAAAACATCCAACATTCCAAGTATCCATCACTGCTAACATAGCCTCGAGATTTGGATATCGTCAACGAGCCCAAGCTGCAATTTCTCTTGCAGACAAGCGTTCGTGCTCGGCTTCACATGTGGAATTGGTCTTCCGGGATGAGTATCTGTCAAGGTCCGACATGTGGAGACTTGTGCGGGCGGAATTGGCAGGGAAAACTGTTTACAGGGGCCAGAAAATACAATTCCTTGCGACAATCAAAGCTGTGGTCAAAACAATACATGTGCGAGGTCGGAAAGTGTCTTCAGGATACTTCGGTGAAGCCACAGTTCCTGTGTTTCGAAGTGAATCGGCCCGGTATGTCCTTTTCATTCAAATGTCAAGAGAGATGTGGGACTTCGACTCCGAGGGCACTGGCGAAATCATGTTCAGTAGAGTGATTGACGGATTTCTTCCGGAGCTCTTCAAGAAATGGGTTGAGCTGGAGGCTAGGCACTTGGTCAGTATTGTGCTCTTTGGCCGTCTTGAGTATGATCGCCACGCTCCTGCAGTGCTTCAACGACTCAATCCCCAACACGCTGATGGCCCATCAATTGACCTCGACCAGAAAGCAAGCTATAGAGATTTCTACCGTGTTGTGGTGACCGATATGGCAAGCGGACAATGGACGACTATTCTCGATGAATTGAAGAAGGATTTCCGGACTTATCTGCGTGATATAACCCTACTCCAACCGCAAGAAGAGAAGTCCAGCGCAGGCCTTACCGTGCCCGAGGCTGAGACAGACTCCAGAACTCGGATCTGTGGCCGACCTACTAGCGCTCTCCGTGGCAATATATTAGAAGCCATCAACATTGCCTCGTCCCAATTCGCAAGCGATTACATTGACAGGGATTTGGTCCGCACTGGCATCTCTATCATCGTGATTACTCCTGGTACTGGGGTTTTCGAGGTGGACCGTCATTTACTGGATTTGACGTCCGAAAATCTAACCAACAATGGTATTGGTATCGATTTAGTCTGCTTGTCAAAAATGCCACTTCACTCGGTCCCGTTGTTCAAATGGCGTACGAGCCAATCAACCTTGAACACCATGAGAGCAGATAGCGACCCACCACTTCACGGCTCTCTCACCCACTTTGCAGCGGAAAGCAAAGGCACAAACAAAGGATATAGCTCTTCTCAGTCAGATGGTTCATTCTTCCGGTCCACTCCACGTGGAGAAGCAGTTAGCGTAGTGCCTGAAGCACAGTGGTCTTTTGGCATTCCTCAGTGGATTGACGTATCTTACTGGGCGTCGACTGGACAGCAAAGAAGGGGCAATCGTCGTAAAGAAGGACGGGACTATGCTCAATTCTATCTGAATCCGATGTCTCCAAAACCATTCGTTCCGAGGGTGAGAATGTACGAGCTCCAGATGATGGGATTGATGGAGCTCGGTTTGGCAAACATCTCAGTACCGTATCTCTCTGAAGGACGTCATACTGACGGATACACGTACAAGAGCCCAAACGGCATACGAGAGCACAAAAGTCCCAGATCTACACAATCCGAGCATCTAGCCAGTTCTCCACGATCCATAAGTAGTCCTCGGATCAGCACCTCTGCTTATTCGGGCAGGCTAAGTCGTGGTTTACTTTCCGTGCAGGCGAAGCAGCAGGGTGACATGTACGAAAGGATGGACGCTTATGACCAAAATCTTTTCAGGCTTGAGCCAAGCAAGAATTCGATTAAAATCAAGCTGAAAAGGAAGAAAAACAATAAATACAAATCATCTTCCGATCAAGGTTTCCATGGGCAATTGTCAAGTCCTCCAAAAAGATGCGGTGGAAATATTGATACTAGCGACACAGATACGATCAGGTCGTTGAAAGGAGCGAAGACGGCGAAGTCCCAAGCCTCGGGCCTGTATTTCAAAGGTTTTCACAGGAGCGTAGACCCAACCGACTCAAGAATCTCTCGCTCAATTAGCTTTGCACTGAGAGGCCTTGGCCCAAGCCCTCCAAGAGCCGTGGCAAGCACCGAAATCAACGTCGAGAATGTTCAAGCTGAACATCCAGGGTTGAATGTCACCCAGCACCATGTCCTGGGGGACTCATCGAAGACCTTGAGAACGCCGGGCAATCATAGATCGAACAGGCTCAGTGTACTATCAATCGAGACTGGAAGTAGCGGACCGTCAGATGCCGATCGTCCTGGACAATCCCCAAAAAGATCTCCTTCACGGCCCATTTTGATCAACAATCCAACAAGGAAGGACCGAAACTCCGACCAGAGATCGGGAAACGAGGTTGCGGCTACTAGTATGCTCAAGGTTGGATTTAAAGGAGCCCACACTCACAAAATTCCATTACAACCCAAAAACACCAAAGAAACCACTCGAAGCAGCAAGAGGAGCGACACGGAATCAGGAGAAGACGTGACATCAATAGCTTCAATTCCTGACATCTCACCTTGGGTCAGAAACGTCAACCCTGCAAATCCGATTAAGTTTCATTCAAGGGCAGAAATTTGGGTAGGTAGATGGCAACATCTCTATCCTCGCACGCCAAGAACTTCCTCAGTGAAATGGAAGTCTCTGTGCACTCCGGCCTCTCTGCCATTGACCACAGAAGAATTCCCGAGCATGAAAGAGCTGGATCGCCAATACACACAGACAGGCTACATTGTGTCTCATAACGATGACAGTGACTTGGCAGAAGTACCAGAAAGCCGGGAATGGTTTCTGCGGGAGATGATAGGCTTGAGACTATCCCATGGCTATCAAATTGTCATCGGCGAAGCCCTTGCCGAGGCGACGGGCATAGACGCCCCAACGTTGGGAGATTATCTTACACCTGAAAAGCTCGCAGAAGATGGAGTTCCGGTCTTCATGTCCATGGGTAACACAATACAGAAACTCGTTTGCGTCGATAACGATAAGGTGCAGGTCACTCGATTTGTCCGGAAGCAGCCTGAGGCTACGCTGGAGAGGACGCAATGCATTACATACAGGCCTTGGATCAGAACGATTCTCTCGAAGTCATACTATCCTCGCACAATGACATTTGCAGGCTTTTCAGAGGAGTATCCCTGGAAGCTTGCTGACTCACACATGGCGGGCCAGAAGGATGATCTGGGTAAAATACACGAACAGCTTCGTTTCTGGCGCGCTCGTTTTGTCGTCATACCCACTGAACCTCCGCCTAGCGCAAAGTGGCCGGTTCAGTCGATGAGTGAAGACAACGAAGAGGAGATACATTTGTTGGGTATTCGCGAGCTGACAAGATTGTGGCAAAAGATTCGGTACAATCCTCCAAAGGAACGACATTTCAAACCTACTCCAGGCAAAGGAAAAGATCCAAATCCGCTTGAGATCATATTCCAGACTCTCAACCCATCCGAAGTCGTGGCAACCGAAATCGAGAAGCTCCTTGTAACAGATGATGGAGCCGAGTCCCGGCAGATCCAGCTGCTTCCCGATTCGGAATTACTAGAAAGGTCGACATCGAGTGTTTCCAGGATTGCTCAAGTGCTGCAAGGCGACAAAGGTGTGGATATTACCAATAGAAGATGGCATCTGAAGCTACATTATAGCTGCTTCAAAGGAGATGACTTCACAAACTGGCTCATCTCAAATTTCAAGGATATCGACAGCCGTGAAGAGGCGGTAGCGTTTGGCAACGAGTTAATGCAACATGGCTTGTTCCATCATGTTTCCACACGTCACACGTTCAAGGATGGCAACTACTTCTACACGATCGCACCCGAGCATCGTGCCTCGCGGCCTGAGTCACGGAGCTCATGGTTTGCCGGTGGTCGGCGATCTGATCGTTCTGTACCTGCGACACCAATCACCGACAGTGACTCCCATGCATCACCTCTCAGCATTTCGCAACCAGGGTGGAATTCTACAAGACAGGTCGACAGCGGAGCCTCAGAGAAAATGAACAACGAGAAGAGGCAGGTCTCTGTGTCATTGACCAAAATGATGCGTATCGGCGTCGACAGCCGCAACCCGAAACGGTCAGAGCGTCCTGAGATTGTCAATCTTCATTATGATCGTCTACACAATCCGGAGAATTGCTATCATCTCGAGCTTTCATGGTTCAACGTCACTTCAAAGTTCATCGAGGACGCTATCGTTCACTGGGCTACCCAGTCAGAGAAATACGGACTGCGGCTCGTAGAGGTGCCAATAGCTGAAGCATGCAGTATCGCTAACCATGAACCTTTTCGAGCACCGTATCGGATTGTTCTCAAGGTACAGCCTCCGCCTTCTGGGAATGTGATGGTTGGTAATGGAACTGTATACTCCACAAACTCATTCTTTGCAAATGCGCCCTCAGTTGATAGGCTCATTTATCAGAAAGCATTGCTCAAGAAGTTCAACTTTGTGCTGGATTTGGAGGCCGCCTCAGAATTTCCACCAGATGTGAATGTAACCTATACTTGGGGCAAGCTTGGTTATCGCTATCCTCAATTTGTGCACCGCTCTGGGGTTGTTCTTGCTCAGATTACAGATGAGGGAGAGCTCTATCTCCTCGCCAACCGACTGTACAATACCCGCTCCGCGTCTGCCAAGGACGTAGCTGGCAAGTTCGAGACGAAGAACTCGCACCATTGGCCCACACCAGCTTCCGGCATTGTCGCGCTCAATCCTCAGAACCCTTCACCACATCCTTCTCCACTTGTGCGAGCCAGTAGTGATGTTCTGGGCTCCCGAGATGCGTTGAATGCTTCTGGCATGGCAGCGTTCATCACGCCAGAGCAAATCAAAGATGAACTGGAGGAATTTTGCCATAATACTGAAAAGCTCATAGCATTCTATAAGGAGACCTCTGAGCGTGGACTGCCTGTGACTAGAAAGTCCGGATCGAGGAGTAGCTCATCACTACTCGGGCCGGTTGCCGAGCATGGCTTGGAGAACAGCATCCCGGATTTGCGATTACCAGCCAGCCTGGTCACAACAGCAACCACTCCGGCCAAAAGTCTGGGGATCGGGCTGAACAAGAAGACCAGCCCGCAACCAGGTAGACGAGGAAGCATTGCTCCAGACACAGCGGCCACAGATTCCTCACGCAGGACGAGTACAGACTCACAGTGACGTGGAGAGCTAACCTTACATGTAGATGCTCCAAAAAGTCTACAGGACACTTCGTGGGTAACAATCTGCAGGAGGTCCGTCGAAAGCAAGTTGTTCTATCTAATTAAGGGGCAGCGTGTGTAGATATACGTACAGACTGACAGTACCGTACAGCGAAATTAGAAGCGAGATTGCAGGAGATTTTGACAATCAAAAGCAGGCGAAACGCAGGGGTTACGCGTAGAAATTTCAAGCAATGAGCCCTCACAGCGTCTAATACACCCCCCTAAGATTATATTTGTGCTGAATTAAGTCTGTTTAAAGCTTACTACGGTACCAGGCATAATTAATGTCACTCACACACTGGTAACAGCTTGTAAATGCCAAGATAGAGCGCGACAAAATTGCTCAATTAGGACTAGTCTACATTACTCAGTATCAAGTGTGCACTCCATTAGCATCAATGACTGCCTGGCATCCTGCTGGCATTATAAAGTTTGTTGAATTGCTAGATGGCATAGATGACGTAGAATGAGACAGAATCAGTAGAATAACAGGTAGAATCAATAAGAACGTGTTAAATAGCGGCAGCGAGGTCACAGCGTTAGGGGAGCTGTAAAGGAGCGTTTTGGTACTCTGTTACTAGCGCTGGTTACATTAATTATGCCTGGTACCGTAGTACAGTACCGCTAGAGATCGTAGTAAGCCGCTGGCTTAATAGTGAAGAAGAGACCTCGAAACAGAAGTGGTGTGTAAGTCTGATTGATTCTTGTCAGTGGCTTACCGCCACTTAACCAACTACTAGCGTTACACTAAGTTACTAGGGTGCCGGTCTACTACTGGCAGGAGAGTCATCTCCAAGTGAGCCTAACAGATCGCCAAAACGACATAATGGAGTGTATCTTGCTCTTCTTGCTTTATATGTAATAGCTTATGATTATCGTTTAACATTTCTTGCTGTTCTTCTCCTAATCAACTTAAAATATCTCTCAAAGTAGCTGCTTAACAAACGTGTCAGGAGTATGGACCGTGCGCTCTTCGCGTGCGCGAAACATGCATTCAAAGACTGGACTACCCAAGGAATTCCACTTGAATTCTCCTTGTAAGGTCCATAATCATCTCATGTATCTGCACCTCTTGGCATCCCTAATAGAGCGTTCCATGCTTTTATGTTGGTAGCAGCTTTCTAAAATCATCTGCAGACTTTTTATTTTTTATTTCTAAATTTTGTCGAACTTTAAGCTTGTTTTTTAGTGGCTTGACATTTGATTCTATCTTGACGGGTCTAGGAGTAGCTTGACGGTTTCTGAGCTGGCCCGAGCCTGACCCCCTTAAGGCTCGGCTCGGCTCGGACCATATAACAGCTTACATCTATATTTTATCCTTACTGACCTTGATCGATATCTGTCATTTGCTGTATGTAGCTTTGAATCTGACCTCTAATTCTGGTCGGTCGCTTACCGCTATTTGACCGATCAACTAGTGCTACCCTAACTAAGCTACTGGGGTACCGGTCTAATACCTGGCAGGGCCATCTCCATGTGAGCCTGACAGCTTCGAGATTGCACTACAAACAGCCTGATAAACGCGTGCGAAACACACGTCGAAAGCAGAGATTTCACATAGAAAAACGGGCCAATGAGCCCTCTCAAAGTCCGACACTTCCTTATAACGGACTCAAGGTTTCGTGATTACTCAAGCCTGGATAGAAAACAGCTGTAGCTGTTGAATAAATGCCCAAATAAATAACGTTGAAGCAGAATTTTATGAACAAACGGAAAAGATGCTGAAGGAACCTTTTTTTGCAACAAAACAGCCTTTGAATATCATCGAGTTTGCATCACTTCCACCCAAATCAAATTTACTCCACCACTATTTATTCTCTTTTCACATGGTCTTATGCTTTTACTCTTGTTTAATACAGTCGAACACATCTGCCATAGCTGGATATCATTTGACCGACGACAACAAAGCCACCAATAGCGGGGACGCCGTACATAAAACACATAAACTTAACCTGCCAAAGCGCGACTCTCATTATCTCGTCATAGAAACCAGACTTCGCGAGCACATAGTGAGGCCCCACGATGGTTCCAAACGCCAACCACGTCATTATCCAAACCCGCTGGGTGTAGGTGCTCTTGCTGCCTTTCTTGAAGCGGGAGATCCCACCAATAATGGCCAGAGAGATCAGTCCGACCGCAAGGCCAACGAAGAAGGCGGAACGCTCTGTTTGAACATCACGTTTGTGACAGTAGCGGTGTTTCAAATCGCCAGAGTAGTTGGGAATTTCAACTGTGACTGGAGGTTGAGAGCAGGTCCGGCTTATATGATCCATGGGTACCAATTCCATCCGAGATGGGATTTTGCTGGCCTGGTTTTTGGTGGGTGATGTGTCTCGCTTGCTGAGAAATATAAAGGTCCGTCCATCTTGCATTTCAAAAACCCCGTCCATGTTGCCTACCACGGGGGTTTCGGGAATTTTACCTACAATCCCGTCAAAATGACCTTGACGACGTTCCGCTTCATCCATGATGTCTGTACGGACCATATACACAGTCGAGTAGTCCGGCGTCAGTATAGTACTGAACAAATTTATAATGGACATGATCAGATATGGCACAACCGTAAGTCCGAATGCCGCATATCCATATTCATCGATCTGATTCCCCCGGGCTTGCCACAGCGTGTAAGAAGCCCAGAAGGCTTGGAAAATAGCGAACAGTCCTTTTGAGAGGCTATAAGAGGGACTTAATCTGGGCTGAACATCTTGAGTCTCGGGTTGGGAGGTACGAGTAGAAGAGCGCCGGAGGCCATCTGAGCGTTGGAGAGTTAGCGGAGAAAGGTACCATCTCAACGCACATAGTGAAACGGAAAAAAAGCAGCAATGAGTTAATTTACCTCGGATACCTTGCCATCTCATCTTTATACACGCCCACGCCCTTGTCCACCATGATCGCTTATCGACTTGGAGAACCTTATTGCCGTGCATGTCACAAAATTGAATGCCCGCAGGAAGCTTCGTGAGCGCGTATCCCTGAGGCAAATCGCAAGTGCCGTGGACTTTTCTTCCAGTGAGATCAAACGACCCTTTCTGGGGCTTCCAGGTGCAGCCACCGGGCAAGAAGGTTCTCCAGACTCTAAAAGTGCCCAAGTTGGATGGTGACTGGTTATACTCAGCTAGTGGAAGGTCTTGAGAGCCATTGGTCTCTGTGACCACACTTCCGGTATCATAATTCGTATCCCCGCAAGAACTGTGGTAAGAGGCTTGCGAACTCTGCAACTGGGCCTCAGTTTGTGGCTCAGCATTTGCTTGTTCTTCGTCTGCTAGACTCGGACTGTGGAGGGGAGTGCCGATCTCATCAAAGTCGCTGCTAGTAACGTCGGATGGAAGATTCTTAACGCTGATCCCCTCAATACGGTCTCCATGCATGGGCTGCCAGTCTCCGGATCGAACCACGACGCAAAGAGCTCCAGCTTTAGAAGCACTCTCAAGTTCAGAGTGGGATGAGACGGCACACTGAACCACTGCAGACAGACCGCGGACAAGCCCAAAAGTCGGCAGGAACAGGGCGGTAAGGGACGCATGTATTTGAGTCAACAAAGCCTGTCCAGGCTCGGATTTAACAGTCATTGCGTGAGAGACATAGTTCGTGAGGAAGAAGGCAAAGACATCAACCCATTGGGACGGAAGGCAGAGTAAATGCTTATCGGAATGATTTGTCGTCCCTGTGGGCACCTCGATTGTGATGTTCTGCAAGACTCGACTTGGGTTCGGCGCCGCGGTGGATCGAGGGAGCGAGCATAGGAGGGCCCAGACGGACAGCCAGAGGGCTCTAGGGAGTTTGCAGATCAGAGAGCACAGTTGTGAAAGCATATTACTCGAGAACTTTAGCTAGAAGTTCAGTTTTACTTACTAGTGATCGTGTTGGTAAGGTACAGGGTAGGGACAGGCGGCTGCTTTATTTATGATGCTATCAAGACTACAAATCTTCGAGAGAAACAGCAAAGCTAATGGCAGTGGGATCCTCAGGCTGTGCGATTCAAATTGATACGCACTTGGCTCTGTTCAAAGTAAGGCGGCTAACTCAGCTGCCAAACAATCCCATTGAGCAATGCGGCCCCGATCGATTGATTGATTGATCTGATTTCTTCATACCCGTGGCAAACCCAAAGGGCCTATGCGGGGATTATTCCAGTTCAAGAGTAGCGTCAGACGCTGCCCTGCAGTGGTCTGTGAAATACTATGGTAGGAGGCAGACGTCTGCTTATCACGGTACCAAGAACGACAAGTGATACTTACCCTGCCACCATCCTTCCTCGAAGTTGCTCTCCACAGGATTGGCTTATTTCAGTACAGCTAACTCATGTTCAGCTTAGTGATTACGTAAAGTACCTGTATTAAGGTAAAAATATTAGTGTCGTGCTAGTGACACTGCGGCCCGATACCGTAGTAGGCCTAAGTGCAACGAGTGCAATCCTACCCTAATTGATTGGTTGATTGATTTCTTCGGCCCCGGTTAGGCCATCTAGACGTATGCAGGAACTATTCTAGTCCATGAGTAGTGTCAGACGCTGCCTTAGTCTGTGATCAGCACCGCGCGGAAGTGCCACGCTGGCCTTGCGTGACAAAGATGCTTGGCAAGCTGCATGGCTACCCGAATTTCTCACATTGTGACCGACAAAATGTGGTCCAAGCGTCATAGACACGGAGGTTTTGAAGGGTACCACCGACCTACACCCCGGGCTTGGCATAGCCCTCGCCGGCGCTATCACAGCGAAATACTTGCTTTTTAACGCTTTAAAGACTTCGTCAACGTCAAGCGACAAAAGAAATGTGATTCATGTTGCAGTATTGCTGCTTTTCATAGGCTTCATGAAGGATTGTTGTGAAGCAAATTAACAGCTGTATCAATACGTTCAGAACGTGATAACCGTTACGCCGCGCCAAGTGCGCCAGGTTGCTATCGCCTAGCGTTCCCAGCCCAAGCACACAAATGGAGAACTCTGCATACTACTACCGTACCAGGCATAAGTATTCGTAGCACAGCGCTAGTATATCTCCACCAAAAGAGGCTCCAAACGAGACACCTGAGCCTCAAGCAGCTTAAACGGTACTGGTGTGGCCAATCAATATGAACAGTCGTCAAAGGAAGCTTCTAGACATTGATGTGGCGCTGGATCCAAACTAGTAGTTGCTACTAATGCTGTGCTACGAATACTTATGCCCTTTACGGAGTACACTGCATGAGAGCGGGGTATCAGTCTTAACCGCATTTAGAACTACTACTAGGGTTAAATCTAATACTACGGTAGGAGGCAGAAGTAGCCATAGTTCGGCGCTAGTATCTTTACCCGGAAACGGCTTGCAAACGAAATAACTAAGCCCCAAATAGCTAAGCGGTTTTGCGATGACCAATAACTATGGGCCATCTTCTAAGAAGCTTCTAGACATCAATGTGGCGCTGTATCAGAACTAGCTGCTACTAGTGCCGAGCTATGGCTACTTCTGCCTCATACCATAGTAGTGTAAGCTTGGCACTGTACTCCATATCAGGCAATAATTACCTTTGTGCAGATGTAGGCTGTGGTAGTGATATCCACTATGGCTTACTTCTGCATGACACAACCCTATTTAGAGTAAGGAGTCAGGGTTCTATATGGATTAATCATAGCCATACTGCTAGCGCTCTACTTGCTAGACGCATGCCATTTGGATGGCAGATTGTCACTTCGCTTACGACTCTATACTCCTGACAACAACTTACATGTTTATCAGCCATTATGAGTATTAAGTATAATCTACTTCTCTATAAAGAAACCTAATTCTCTAAGATATATCGTTACGATTAAAAGAAGCTCAGCATCATTTTGAGATAGAGTACGTTGAATAAGTCTATTTACTGAGTCCATGTCAGCTGTTTCTATTTGGCGAAACCGCCGCGGCAATTCTGTATAACCTCCACATATTTGCAAGAGTCTTGCAACGCAAAGTGCGGAGTTGTGTTCTAATCTACCAGTTGTCAAACTATGCTCGAGATTCAACTTGCTCAGAGAGGCTAGCTTTATCTAGCTCTTGATAATCATTAATATCGCAGGCTTACCATACCTGGAAAGATCCCTAAGCTTTACTAAATCTCTAGGTACGGCTAGGAGTCAACCTTAAAGTACTTATCACCTAGGGACACCTGGTGTCTCCAGTCATTGTCTAAGTACATAGAACCTCCAGTTAGTATTATTAGACGACAACCACTTCATCTGCACTGCAGTTGCTAGCGCTCACCTTATTTCTAGCGTAGTTTAACGGCTTTTGAGGTACGACTCCGTAATGATATCTGTTGTCGGGAACAAGACGACTTGTCTTTTCACTCCATCCTGGAACTGCGTCCGGCCTCTTGCTTGACTATTGTAATCAGACAGTGTCGAAGCCGTTACATAGCCTCCCTAAAAGCATGCCCAGGTGCCGGAAGTAATAAATTTATAGCAACCTTTCACAATTTGGCAACGCTCTCCTGTTACCGCCATCTATAAGTCAACTCCTAGATTTCCGCACTCTCTTCGCTACCTCTACACCATCCCAAATCTTACACCTCTTACCCCTACCTACCTACCCATCAACCACTCTAGCCCTATCCCAAACCTCAGCACCATCATCCCTACGAAACAATGACAAGCCACCCCACCCATCCCGCGCACCGCCTCCTCTCCCGCGCCCACTCCCCAACCACTGCCCAAACCCTCTTCACCGATCGCGTCAAGAACAAACCCCTGATCCTCCGCCGCCCTCGAGCGGCTCCGCAAGAAAGAGTACTTCCTGCGCAAGCAGAAACCGCGACCGCTGTCGGCGAAGGAGAAGCGCATCTCGGGCGTGCACGATCTGAAAAAGGAGAAGGGGGAGTTTAAGTGGGAGGTTTATTTAGGGTTGAATCGCGTGTGGAGGGGGTATGTGAGGGAAGTTCTTGGGCTAGATGGGACTGCGGGAGGGAATAATAACATCAAGGTGGTGTCGGCGCAGCATCATGGTGCGTTGTTGGCGAGTCTGGACTACCATGGCGCGGAGATTGAGGTGGTGAGGTGTGCATGTGTGGGGCGGGTTGGGACCAGGGGGATCGTGGTGCGGGATACCAAGTTTACGTTTGTGGTCGTTACGAGGGCGGATGAGGTCAGGAGTAAGTCAATCCTTTTTTCTTTTACTGTACCTGCGGGAAATAGATCTATGACTGGATCGGGGGTGGCGGGGTTGGGCTGACGCTATTCGCGGTACTGTAGCAATACCTAAAAGGGATGCCATCTTTCGGTTCGAGGTGCCCGTGCCTGAGGGTGAGGAAGAAGGGACATCTCCCGAGAAGGAAACCAGGCCACCCCAGCAGCCCCTGGTATTTGAGCTGCATGGCAACCAATTCGAGATGAGAGCTGCCGACAGGGCAAACAAGAAGTTCAAATGGAAGAGCATGGAGTATCTTTGACTTCCAGCTGGACAATTGTGGCTATTTCCATCGCAATCCTACACTGCCAGAATTGTGGCCCTCTTAGTGCCCACGCGAATGAGACTCCAGACACGAAACTACATAGAGTGGCAACTCGAAGACATGGTGTACAGGGTCTCGTTTCAGATGCTCAGCCCCGTCGTCTACGTGGTCAGCCGTTCCTCAAAGGGCCTGGGATATGTTGCCCTACCGGAGCGAGGACGATCTCCAGCAGCGGGAATCCTTATCGCCGAAGATGAAACCCCGTTACTGCCGAGCATGAATCATATACATAGTAGCCCAGAAGGTTGCGACTTTGACTATCATAGGCTAAGTGAATGTTTGTGTCAGACAAAAGCTACTCTACGGTCCTTTGAGGGCCATGGAATTCTTGGTCCAATGGCTTGATTTTATAAAAGCAACAGAACTTTCATCCCTGGGCCAATCACCAACGATCATTACTTGAAAAAGGGGACTTAGAGCACTTTCAAGTGCTCAGTGATGATCAGAGCCTCATCGCCCACACAAGCTGATGCGGGGAGTAGACTACCCAGCTAGCCGGATAACTAGCCAATGCCGATAGGAAGTGCGTACTAAGATAGTGTGTGGTAACTGACATTCGATTCGGAATGTGAGCTATGGCCCCGATCCAATAACATGTCGCCGTACTGGATGCAAATATTGGCAGCCTTGCGCACTCATGCTCCCTTAACACAAATCTGATTCGAGGAATGTAATTGGGGAGACGATCTGTGATCACGCCTGCATCACATCCTGGTGCATAGAAGATCGTCCTAGACGTTCTTGTAAGGATCCTGGTGATCCCGATCTCCTGCTCACGTGGTATGCTGAGTATCCTTGTTGCAGAAACCGAATTTTGAATGGATGTGGCCCGCGGGACCCAGGCATACGTCCAGCATAATCACAAACACAGCCATGCTACCTATGTTTAGATCAGCAGGATTACTACATGGCAGCAGGGAAATGCCTACTACGAGACTGTCAGTAGTGTCCCAAGGACCTGCGAAGATGAAGAGGAACATGAAAGTGGATCAGGCTGAGGACTTTCAACAACCCACATTTCTTCAAAGGTCAAAGGCAGCCGTTCAGTCATAATAAGGAACAGATCGGGCAGCCATTGGTCTATTTTTTTTGAGGTCTCGTCATGCAGCATCCCAGTGACTACAACAGCTGTTTCTATACCTGCCAGTGGAAGAGGTGAGTGATTTCGTGCGTATAGGGTGGTCGCCTCCAACGTTGCCTGCTTGACAACGATCCTACAATTATGTAAGACATTGGACTGACAAGGAAGATGAAGAAGCACCTTCGGGATGTTGTCCTAGAATGAGAATGACCCGCAAGTTTCGGCTCCACTATGTCTGTGATGGTGGCATCACTCAGCTATGACGCTCAGCGCCGCATCAAAATGGACCCAAGATCATCGATCGAGAGTGGCTTTGCTGTCTAGATGCAGCAAGAGGGACTCAGCTCCTGGTTTGGTGTGGACTGCTAGAGGGTTTCTGAGAAGACTCGTTGGGAGAGTTGCACTGGAATAGGGAGTAACAGGCAATTAGCTTGACGCATTGCCTCATCTCCAAATGCATTGCAAAAATGCCTTCAGAGCCATTTCTTCGTATCGGTGTTTTAGAACCCGAAGACCGGGCCATTGGAGGACGTAGAGAGCATCCTGATAGGACGTTTTGGTAGCCATCGTTGCCTTGGACGCCGTCCTAAACCTATTAGAGCAGTCTCTGCACTAGTATATTCATCTGCAGGAGCAACGGCTTCCAGAAAAGGCGTGATCTGACGATGGCGTGAAATCAAGACTCAGCTGATGCTATACTAGTTTCGAACCGAGCCGCCACCAAAGCCTCCGGCCCCGATTCCATGGGAAAAGAACATTGGGGGCTATATATGACCCACCGGTACGGTAATGCAACTCCCTTGCAGCATGCCGGATTGGATGCTTGAAAGAAACCAGTTAGATGGAGGTGGATCAGGGCTTGCCTACTGATCGACCAGGATCTTTCCCAATGTGTGTTTCTGCCCTCAGGCAGGATCCAGTTTTTACCAAAGCAGTGCACCGATCTCGTGACGAGGAAGTGCAAGCAGCAATGATAATGAGTAATCTTGTTGATCGAGCTGGCAGTCCCAATCTCCTTCCTCTTACCATTTTGATTAGGATTTCGAAGTTCATTTACTGAGGGTAGGACGAGCATAGTTGGAGGGTTTGACCTGGATAGGGGAGCTGTTGCCGTTGTAAAATGTGATGCAGCATAAAGGGTTGCCGAGGAAGGTCCACAGAAGTGATTTACGGCCGTTCCAGAGGTACTACGGTAGGTGGCATAAGTATCATTAGCTTTAAGCTAGAAATATTTTATTTTACACAACCTTGACGAAATTGCACTTTACTGTAACAACGTTAGTCTGTATAGTCTTCAGAACTTAGCCAATCATCAGGATTAGCGAGGGGTCGTTAAGACTTACATAGTACAATAAGTCTGGAGAATGCCGGATCTTTGTAACAAGAGCTACCTATGACTAGCTCACGCTAACAATACTTATGCCTCCTACTGTAGTAGCCCCCAAAACTAGGCAAACCTCAGCGGGGTGCCCTCTCGTATGACTTGAACTCTGCTCCGAGCTCATCACCGGTCTACTGTAGTCCTACTAGGGTGATGCCCACCCGCGCTCACCTGGGTCCGGGTGACCTTGGCTCACAGTGCACCTTTGCCTAAAATGTGAGGGCTCCCACGAGTCAATCAACCGCACCTGCAGCGTTTACAATCAAGGGGTTCTACCAGGAATGATCCGGCATGTCATTGGCACGCCTATGTCGCGCCCGGTGACTAGCACGAGAGATCCCAGGCTACAACCTACGTGTCGACTGGGCAAACCCTCCGTCGCCGCCTCCCCCCATCGAGCACAATCGTCTTCGACTTCAAGTCGATGTTTATGCCGGTCACGGAATTCAGACAATGAGCCCTTCATGTCGGCGATGTGTACGAGGTCCTCAAGGAGGGAAATAGGAGTCTCATGTAGTATAAGAATAAGTGGCAGGTCGAGCATGCGGTAGTGCCGGTGTTATGAGGCGTGGAAGAGGGAGCAGGTGGAGAGAGGATTGGTACCGGAGGGTGGGAGGCGTAAACGGTAGAGGATGAGCCGTTTTCTTCCAAGTGAATGGAAAAGTGGAGGGATTGGTAAGAGTTTCTGATGACTTTGGCTTATTAAGAGGATCTGTGGGACATTCGTCGTTTGAATTTATTGAAGTGAGTGGATGACTGATGCGTCTTGTGCAGGTCCTGTTGGATGCTTTCATGACCCGTATGTTGCGAGTTCCGAGTATATTAAAAGTTGGATTTAGAGAATAGAGGATCGCAACCACGAGAACAAGGATATAACTGTAGTAACTCTTTAATGAGCATACTATTCAAATCATCTAATGTATAAATGTGCTATTTGGACCTTACAGAGACACTTCTCCAATCTGCGATTACTAGGACCACCACCTACCTACCTAATCAGGCACGACATCAAGTCTCCCCTGAACCGGATTCCGGCTTCCTCCTTATTAATCAGAGTGTTAAGAAGGCTGCTTTCACCGAAGCGTAAGGCGAGAGAGACATGGGTGAGGTGATGGATCGGCTATAGTCGCTTCCTGTTTGTAGGAACTCAAGTCTCCTGCCTTCCGGCCCAGGGCCTCAAGCGAGGGAGCTTAGAGTAACACCCTGCAACTGATCAAAAGTGACTCTACAATTTCACCTCAATGCTGCTGAAGTCGGCTTTCGATCTGCTTCGATCAATCTCAAGATCACCTTCAATTTCGAGGCGATGAACAATCTCAGTGTCCTGCACATATGTCGACGACCACAGCAAATATAACAGCGCTTCTTCACCGTGTGGAACAGGTAATGAATACCAGGAATAGTATTGATTGTCGATAACATCGAGTGGCAGATATCTTCTAGAACAATGTCTTGAGTCACACTGATGAGGTACACTCATCGGCCAGCTGATTTTGCATATGTTGATGGTGATGCCTGGATATGATCAACCAAACCAGGAGCACAACAAATGTTAAGAGAGCTGTTATCACCCAGTACAACCACATCCAAGATGAAACGACATGTGATGGGTCCTTGGGTGCGAGGTTGAAGAAGCCTGCCCCGAATAGTGCCTGAGTAGCTGTTGGCACGCAGAATAGCGGAAGTTTTAGTTTTACTCACCGCGGTGAATGTGCCTGGTAGGAAGATCAGAGTCACAGCGGCTATGATCCGCATGTGGGTGCTGTCTTGTCGAGTCAGAACGGCAATTCGTTTCGTGTCGAGGGCATCTTTCTGGGCGATCAAACTGTAGACCTGCGGAAGGGTTCAGTTTCGGAAATTTAACAGATCCTACTTCGGGTGACACAAACCGTTTGTATTTGAGCCTGCGTGCGTTGCTCTAGTAATCTTCGTGTATTTTGCGCGCCTGCGATCAATGCCTTCAGATATTCTATGCGAAGGCTGAGAGGCTGAGGTATTGCAGAATCATCCTGGAGTGACCATTCTTTCTTATTGGAATGAAGTTTCCGTGCGACCTCTTCAACAAGCTCCAGCGACCGTAACCCATTCTGGAAGGTTAGATCGCAGAAGGCGAACGTACCCGCAAGACCAGTTAGCTTCTGAGTGAGTAGATCGAAGTCGAGCAGTTCTCGGCTTTTTAACCGCTCTTGACGCGGTCTATTGCGCTCAGGTCGGTTTGAGAAGCCGTGGCGCATGCCGGTCTCGTACTCGATCTCGTCCAGACCTCGAGCTCTGCGTTCTAGCAGAATAGCAAAATAGTGTATCTTGAGCTCGACCAGAGTCACCGGAAGAAGTATCGGATGATGGGCAAGCTCTTTATTTTGCCGAAGACAATGTTTAAGCGTGCCAATCTCCCTTTGCTCTAATCCGTGAACGACAGCATTGGTGACGCCGGTGGCCGTATCATGTACCACGACGAGACAGTAATTCCAGTCTCGGGATCGACCACTGCGGAGCATCAGGCCTGTTCATTTGTGAGCATATGAAAGTATGTCGGTCGATCAGGAGATCACCTTCCAAGGAACATGAGTCTACGTCTTGGTTAACTGAGAAAGTCGTCACTATTGGCATCGTACTCAGTAACATGCGTAAGAACTCTGTCGGCAGCCGCCAGGCCGCCATGATTCTCTTGTAGGAATTCTTGGAAACAGGTAGCGGAAGTATCTTCGTGTCATTGCCATGCTTTTCAGGAGTCCATAACCTGAGTGAAAATTAGCTCTGCTGAGTTCGCTTCCGTGGGATCGTGGGGATGGTAAAGCAGTACAGCAAACGAAGTAGCGGCGGCGGCTTGGTTCCGGAAGTCTGACAATTCGGCCTGTCACTAACAACCCCTCTATCTCGACATTGATCTCATACCGTTGCTTCAAGCAAGGCTGGGATGCTAGCATCTTCAACAACACTCTCCTTAAAGCTTCTTCCCTCAATTCGCTAGTGCTGAGTTTAGCTAAATTATCATACCAAGTAGGGAACGTGTTCAGTGCCTTGTGATCTGTTATCTCAATGAATGAATTGGCGTCTTGTGGGGAGAAGTTCGATGTCTCCTCGATGAGACGGCAATGGTAGTCGTCATACATCATAGACTAAAACACGAAACTGAGAAGACGTCGGAAAGATCTCCAATAGGCAGATAATTATGCAAATATGGCCACACCGAGGGGCTATAAGCGTACAAGGATAGCACTTGTCTCGTAATAAGAAGATGGTGTTATCCAGATATCTCTTGTCCGCTTGCTGTTGTCCGTCGATTATTCGAAAGCATATAGACTCTATTCCCAATCTTACCCAGATGCCAAAGCGGAGCATAAGGCCCGGAAAAGACGCCTTGCGAAGTTCCAAAGCAGTCAGCCTTGCTGAAACCTCCCCACCGATTCCGGCATCGAAGGATTGGTTATCATGAAAAGAGCCCACATTGGATAATCACTATTTCTGACTTCTGTTCGTTATTGGCTGATAAAGGGCAAAGATGTGATACTTTTACTCGCCTTGTTACTTGCAATTCGACGCTCCTTCCGCACACTTCTGCATGCGGATCATTTAGTTCAAGAGTGAGGCCTCACCACTCTTACTCAATAAATAATCAGCTCCACGCCAATTATACAATCCCGTTACGAGGCTAAGTAATGGGCTTCAACCACGGCAACACGAAACTGCGGCGCATACAAAGTAGACTGCGAATCACAGCTTATTATTGAGTAGACGAAATGCCTCAAGCAGGAAACAGACTGGCACCAGAAGTGTTGTCTCTCCACTAAGAAGGCGACAAGGAGTCCCAGGCCTCCATGCTCATAATGCCAGAGAGATTATAGCAGATCCACAAGACGTGATCCCAGCGTGTACATTCTCGCCATTATCCTCTTCATTCCCCGATGATTGACTTTTATTAAGAGAAACAGTCAACAGCTGTAAGTTTCGATCTTGATTCCTGGACTGCCATTTCCGTTAAGCAAACCCACTCCGATCTCCGAGTAATGTAGTGATTACAATACAAGACACCTATTTGATGGCCGGATTGTACAAAGGATGGCGGAGGGCCTTGCATCCCATATGATCTGGACCGGGATTCCATGTAATGGTGTCGCCCTGCAGATGAAAGAGGGACTCAGTGCCCGAACTTCAACACCGATCTCACAAGCAAGTTCCATCAAACGAAGGAAAACGTATCAAAATCATCCAAAATTCCAACCACGCGGCCAGGATGATGACCAGGGAGCAGGCGGAGGTGGAAAGCAGTGGCACGTCAAGGACAACACCACAAGGAGGTAGTGTATGTGGTTAGAATTCCGACGTACTGAGGAAAGACCTGGAGAATATGCAGGCTCAGATGGTGCGCAATGACCACATCCAAAGCTGGGATTCAGCCGATTTTTTTCCTTCTTCACGCTGTCTCGTAGCCTCGTCTAATCGAGGATGACTACGTTTGGCTCCGCTATAAGTTCTCCTGTATTCTGTAGGCCTCCTTCATCCAACATTCATTTAAAATGACCGAGCTAAATGCCTTCCGTGCTCGGAAGATCATATCTTTAGGGCCAGTAACGACGGCATATCTGCGAGGTTGATTTTTTGAAAAGATAAGATTCACTAATCTTTCCAATTCCTGTGCCGCCAAATTTAGCTCCTCTGGTTGACCGTGGAAGTCGAGGGAACAGTGACGATGGAACCTGAGGTAGAGGCGTGCAATGATCACCCGTGAATCATCCTATGCGGGTGATGGGTGGGTGAGGTGTGGTAAAGGCGGCGTCGAGTGGGTGAGCGGGAGTGCGGAGCAGATTTTCCTCTCCTTGTGTCGCCAAGAACATTCTGTGGGAATGCTACTGTACATATCGCATGCTCGAAAAGCGCAGAGCAAAGCATAAATATCATGCCTCCCAAATCCAACCTCGAGCTGATAGATGAGTGTGACAAGTGATGCTCCTCCACCAGTACAATCAATACAAGAGAAATCTTTGAAGCTGACACTCGGTTGAACAGCTTCCCGTACGGCCTCCCCTCACCGCCATCCTCATACTACACATTCATCCATGCCACCACTCCCCTCGGCTACATCTCACCCCGTGTCTTCGACAAGATCACCTGGGACCCGTCGATCTGGACGATAAACCGCACCTCGCGGACGGTGGAACTGCGGGGCCATGATGTCACGGAGCGGGACCGGGCTCTAGCTTCTTTCCTAGCGGGTCTACGTGAGAGGAGGGCCTTTGGAGTGTTGGAGGGGTGGAGGGGCGAGTCGTATCCAGTCTACTCTTATAACCGGGAGAGTGGGAAGAAAGAGGTGATCATGAGTATGGAGAGGGCAGCTACGCCGCTTTTTGGGGTGGCAACGTACGGGGTGCATATGACTGCCTACACGTATCCTAAAGACGGGGAGGCGGGCATGAAGATCTGGATCCCCCGTCGAGCCATGACGAAGCAGACGTATCCCGGTATGCTGGATAATACCGTGGCAGGCGGAATCGCCACAGGAGAAAAAGTCATGGATTGTTTGATTAGAGAGGCGAGCGAGGAGGCTTCACTGTCTGAAGATCTGGTGAGAGGGAATGCAAGGCCCTGTGGCACGGTGACTTATTTCTATGTTCGTGATGAGCGGGCCGGTGGGGAGACAGGCCTCTGTCAGCCTGAATGCGAGTATGTCTATGATCTTGAGTTGCCGGTGGATGTGGTCCCCGTGCCGGGTGATGATGAGGCAGTGGATTTCCGGTTGTTGAACGTGGAGGAGGTGAAGACGGCGTTGAACGCGGGGCAGTTCAAGCCCAATTGCGCGTTGGTCTTGCTGGATTTCTTTGTGAGGCATGGAGTGCTGAGGCCGGAGAATGAGCCGGATTATATCGAGATTGTGAGCAGGTTGCATCGAAGGCTTGAGTTTCCAACGGCTTGATTCGACTGTCCCTCCTTTGATTCTGTGGAAATTCAACCTTGATGCCTGGACGCCATCGCTAATGTGTAACTTTTCGAGGAGCACCATAGTGTTGATAAGGCAGCTGGCAGAGCTCAAAATTAAGCTCATCGCTTCATGAGTAGGTATACGTAGTCGATGCGCAAGGGATTGAGTTTGCTGTATGGTCCCTCAATATAGAGTAACAGCCCTCCAAATGACACGTAAACCTTACTATTTGAACGCGTCAATCAGACGGCCAAATCGATGGCCCTTGTAAGGGAAATCCTCAACTCACATATCATCTTGATTGCCCTCCTCAAACCTGTAGATCTTGCCATGGCACACATAGTCGTATTCGTCCGCTAGACTCCTCTCCCCCAACCCAACATCCCTCCACCCTTTGGTATCGTCCTTGCTTCCGTCGAGGTTTAACGTGAGAGCCAGGGCGATCTGTACCCGGTCACTGACGTTTACCGGGTACAGCTCGGTGTTGACATCGAGCGTGAGCGAGATCTGCTGGTCGTTGCTGGTTGCCGCGATTCGAGAGACGCGCTCGTACTTCTGACTGTTGACGCTGAGTATGGAGAAGGCATCTTCGAAGAGGATGGGCTCGGACATAGCTATAGCGTGGCTGTGGCGTAGAGTTGGCTAGATGTGAAGAGGCAGCATGGGGAGGGAGAGGGGGTTGCGTTCTGATCTGTCGCGAAACTTTTTTTCTTGGAAGCAACTCCGCTCCGCCTGCGGAATGCTTGTCCTCCACGCTTGTTCAATTCTTGTTCAGTTCTTGTTCAATTTGTCAGTCAACCAATACTCATGTCGTTTCGCCGGCGCAACATAGGCCTATCTGCCAGCACGAACAAGGATCAACATGATCAGTCATCAAAAGCGCCTCTTTCGGCTGCGCCAGGTGTGCGCCCTTCACCTATCGATGGACGGCCTACTACATCTACAGGGACTGCCTCGTTGGACAGCCTACTGGCCGGTCATGCAGGCTTACCTCTGGGTACATCCTTACTCGTCGAAGAGAATGGAACAACCGACTATGCAGGAGCACTGCTACGCTACTTTGCTGCCGAAGGTCTTGTCCAGGGTCATCATGTCCATGTTGTCGGTCTGCGGGAGAAATGGGGAAGGGAGTTACCTGGTCTGGTTAGCTCGGAGAAGGAGGAGAAGTCGCAGAGAGCAGAAGACAGGATGAAAATTGCCTGGAGATACGAAAGTTTGGGTCAATTCGAGGCTGGTGTCTCGTCATCAAGAGGTGGGCTCTCTGTGCTTGTTGATAGTCTTCCCATAGATATCAATTATATGGCCTTGATCCTGATTCTTCAGCAGATCCAGTGCATTCGCGTACAGGTATCAGCGACGCTGGTCAAGCTCGTTCCCAGCCCTTTTGCCATGTCTTCGACTTGACCAAGAAGCTGGAGCATCCGCCTGATGCCAATATCTCCTTCTTGAAGGTGTCTCCCCATCCCGAAAGATCTCCGTTCTCCCCCATTCTAGAGCAATTGCACACCATCCTCGCGGATTCCCCGAACACCAGCATCCATCGTCTCGTTGTGCCCGGTCTGTTGTCACCTCAAATATATCCTCCGCACTCCAGCCTTCCTCACAATGTCCTTCCATTTCTCCAAGGTGTTCGGGTCCTGCTAGCCGCATACCCGGCACGACTAGCAGCAGTTATCACTCTCCCACTGTCCCTTTTCCCTCGAAGTTTAGGACTAGTCCGATGGATGGAACTGCTTAGCGATGGGGTGATCGAATTAACACCATTTCCGCATTCAAGCGACCAAGATCGAGCTGCTCCAAAACCACCACCAGGTGAATCAGCCACCTATGAAGAACCTCCACAAGGCTTACTAAATGTCCATCGTCTTCCAATTTTCCATGAGCGCGGAGGTGGCTCAAGCGCTGTTGGAGAGGACTGGGTATTTACGTTGAGCCGGAGAAAGTTTACAATCAAGCCATACAGCTTGCCTCCAATAGAAGGTGACACAGAGGCCCAACAAACACACCCGGCAGGTCAACAGCCCAAGAAGTCTGACATGGAATTTTGAGGGGTCGGCGGAGCATTAAATCTTCATCTTTCATCTTCAAAGTCACGGTCATTCAGCATTGTCTCCATTTCGATGTGCTCCGACATTGCTGGACCGCTATTGGTCATGGTACGGAAGTAGGTTTTGCCGTAATTGCCATCCCTAGTGTTGGGTGAGACACCTCGCATGCGTAAGCGATTGCCCAGGCAGGAAGAAAGGGCAAGAAAGACTATGCAAATTAGCATATCAGTCTGTTCGTGAGAGTCTCAGTGCTGTTTACCTAGAAGGAACAGGATCGGAACCCCGAGAATGAGGACCAGCAAAGTAATCACGTTCATGATTCTGCAGCCAGCTCGTTACGCGAGCATATCTTTCCTCGAGAATCAGGAAAGTGGATCGAAAAGATTGCTTCTCAGGGCATGTCGTGTACAATCTAGTAATGGTCCAGGGCGCACGCTATAAGCTTAGATGTCTGTAGCCCGTGTTTGTCGCATTAAGCATGTTGGCGTCTGAGAGGGTTGAAGTGAGTTGTGTCCAATGAGTCCAATGATTTGTATGTCAGCCACAAGGTCCTGTCTTAGTAATCAGCCCTGTCAAGCAAAATTGCTTCCAAACATATCGGATTTTCTCAGCAAGACAATGGGATGCTGTCCAGATTCCACCCAGATTGGATCTCAACACCTTGTAAGCATGGCTTGCCAAAATTCATGTGCAAAGACATTACCACACAAGCTGCCCCTTTTGTGCATGCCTTATCGAAGTGCTTCCGAGCCGCAAGGATCATTAACAGGCACAGTCTAATACCTCAGCAGCCGAGAGAGGGACAACTGGACGTTGTCACAGACCAACCAGGTATGCCTTGTCTCTTCATCTCGTGCAAAGTCTCGTCCATTCCATGATTACAAAACTCCATATCTGTCAATCCACTGAGCTCCCTCGAGCACGTTATGACTGAGAACAAATCGTTGTTGAAATATGATATCCTATCAACCAGACTTCCTGAGCTGACGACCGCTGTTCCTACGCCAGCTGACCCGAAAGCACAGGGCCGACATCCTATTGCAATTGAGGCATCCCAATTGCCGGCTGTGGATCCTCGCAGGTAAATCATGGACGCCAACCCAGATCTACCCATCCCGGTCTCGTTGATAGCTGGTCGTTACCTGCTTTTCGCCATCGATGCTGTCACGTATCTACGTCGAGAGCATCACATCTGCGGAGTCACCATTGGTACCCTTCCTCAGGCTCCGCAGCAGAATGTCTTTCTGGGTCTGCCCCTGGAGCTGATGCCCGAAGAAGTTCGACTTCTGGTTGAGAAAGGATTGGCTTATGTGATTGATGATGCTAAAGCTCATCAACAGGGCCTGGTCAATGCTTCTGCACGGAAGAGAGTCCACTATGTCAAGCATCTACGGGACAAAGGACGACAAGCCGCAATCTCCCAGGCTGGGGCCAAGGAACACTCGAAAGCTTTAGCTTTGAGCAAAGCTCGATCGAAGGCCTTGAAAGCTCCGACGATCAGAGCTGCAAGCCATGATGAAAGCGAGGATACAAATCTCACTGACACAGCTGAACACGACTCGCTCTTTGCCCCTTCCAGTCCGTCCGGACTAGCCACGTCAGATTCGCAACCCATAACTAACTTTGGTGTAACCCCTGCATCTTCAGCATCACTCCTGACTCCACCGCCATCGCCTCCTGCATCAGAAGCTTCACTCCCTGCAGTCCCAGAGTCGTACCCACTATTCAAACATCTTCACTCCAATGGCTACTTCCCCTTACCCGGTCTGAGATTCGGCTGCCAGTACATGGTCTATCCAGGCGACCCGCTCCGTTTCCACTCTCATTTTCTGGCGTCATACGTCGGCTGGGACGAAGAGCTGGACCTGATGGATCTCGTCGGAGGCGGTCGTCTCGGCACAGGCGTGAAGAAGGGCTACCTCATTGGTGGCGTGGAGAAGAAAAAGAATCAGGACATCCCAGACATGCAGACCGAGCGTGTGCGAACCTTCAGCATTGAGTGGGCTAGCATGTAGACGCTGTCAATTATAAGACTGCGAAATGGCCACTTTGAATAAATGACCACCGCGCAGCTTACCGAAAGCTTCACACTTCACTATCTCCGTCGTCCGCCTGATTGCGGCGCCCATGCCTTCGAGACTGCGAGTCTAAGTTGGCCGACTACAAACTTTCTCAATGTCGTAGGCAGCCTTCCTCCTCTAAAGACAGAATATTCATCTCCAGCTCTCCCTGTAATCAAGGTAATCATTTGAAGTGCGAGGTAGATCGGCCTTCCGGACTGGAAAGGAAGGGAAAGCCGGGCTTGTTGCTGTGGGTAAAACCGTGATGGGACGCTGCTCTCACCTCAACCAGGAAGACAGGGCCGCGTAATGGCCATGCGGAGAGATCAGGCGGGAAAGGGTTCTAGATATCAGGGGGAATAGAGAATGAGAGAGAGCGAGAGAAGGAAACGGTGATGCTTTCGCGGTATAATACCAGATGAGAGGGCTCCTCAGTCGAAGAGAGCATCCATGATAAGAGGAAGTGAAGACATAGCTCTGTATCTCTCACACCTTGACCATCAAGTACTTATATGGTTATCCTAACAACAATTCCTATTGACGGAATGGGTTTCTCAATTCCACCACTGAGCGTCAAGCAATGTTAAACTCCCCGGCTCCACCCACCGCACCCAATCTGCCCATCTCCCTCATCTTCCTCCTCATCTTCTGCGCCGCCTCATCCACCTCCCCCACTTTCCCCTCCCCTCCACCACCACCACCACCATCCCTGATACCCCTCCCGCCGCCCTGCATCTCGTTACCACCTCGTCTCATCTTCTTCCCCCTCATCCCCTGAACATTCAGACTCCCAGGCGCCTCTCTCAATCCAAACGCCTTAGCCAAATGACCCAGATGCAGCTCCTTGATGTCGAAATACTTCCTCTCGGCCTGAACATGCGTAGCGTAGGCCCTGACGTGGCTCTGGAACGCCTTGCGCGCCTTGTCCGTGTTATGCGGCGAAGCGAGAACCCAGCGCTCGACGTCGAGCTGGTGGGCTGTTGCTTGGGCTTCCCAGTTCGCCAAGTCTTTCGTAAGGTCGGAATCGAGGACAGAAGGACTTGGGGCGGTCTTGGAGGGTTTGTTGGAACTGGTGCCGATGATGCCGCCTGTAGGGGAGAAGCCGCGTTTCAAGATCTCATTGCAGGGCGTGTGCGTCACATTGGCGTTTAGATTTACGCCGTCGAGAGAGGTAGAAGGATGATATGCGCTTCGGAGGATGGAGACGTACCCTTCCTCGCTGCCGGGCAGGAGGAATATAACGGCGCGGCCGTCGCGGCCGAGACGCGCGGTTCGACCAATGCGGTGGAGGTGGTCGTCTGAGCTGAAGGGAGGGTCGTATTCGATGACTAGGTCTAGGTTGGGCAGGTCGAGGCCCCGGGAGGCGACGTCGGTGGCGAGAAGGAGGGACGGTGTTGTGGAGGCGGTGAAGGTACGGAGGATGGTGGTGCGGGCTTGTTGGGGGAGGGAGCCGTGGAGTTTGAAGATGGTTAGAGGTTGGGTGGGTTTCGTGGTTGAGGTTGAGGGAGATAGGTGGGGAGAAACGGCGTAAGGGATCTCGGAGTTGGGAAGTGTTGAGGGTAGAGAAGGACCCTGGGTGGATGTGTCATCCTGCTCTTGGGCAAGCGGGCGGGTGAAGACATCGTAGTGGAAGTCGACAGAGTCGGCGCAGGAGAGGAATACAATTGCCTTCATGACGGAACCTTTCCGGGCAAAGGTGCGTTTGAGAAGAGCCGTCAGGGTGACCAGACGGAGTTTGGCGGCGACGACGGTGTATGATTGTTTCAGTTGAGCTGGTGCGTAGAACGTTGATTGCGGCCTCGTGGCAGACTCGGGGCTTTTGTCGTCTGAGTCTACATCTGGCTTGATCAGTGCAGCATCTTTGAGACTGATTTCTCCCAGACGCTGGACATTCATCTTCATTGTTGCTGAGCAGAGCACAGTTGTACGTTTCCGTGGTAGCCCAACAATGTTGCTGTCTCTCCGCCCCTCATCCAGTTTCTTGACAATCTTCTGAATCTCCTCCTCGAACCCTAGATCGACCAACCTGTCTCCCTCGTCCAGCACCAACCATCGTACATTGCTGACGTCAAGCACCTTTGTATTTTCCAGGTGATCAGCCAATCGACCGGGCGTAGCAAGAAGAATGTTTAATCCTTTGCGTAGTCGGGCCTTCTCGGATTTCTTCTTTTCACCTCCAATGACGGCTCCTGCAACAAGCCAATGTGCGCATCCTAACAGCCGTTCGAGCACAACCGAGATCTGCTTGCACAATTCCCTGGTCGGCGCAAGGATGATAGCAAAGAGTCCAGAATCACGGTGTACTGCGCCATTCCCGTTGACCTGTTTCTCAACTCCAGTCTTCGAAGCCGAAAGAGACATCATCCTCTGGACCAAGGGAAGCAGATATGCAAGGGTCTTGCCAGAACCCGTTTCGGACTGTATGAATGCGTCCGAGTCTTCCTGCAGCAACTGTATTACCGAGCTTTTCTGTATGGCGGTAGGCTTCTTCAGCTGCATTTTGGTGATGAGGTGATTGGCCAGGACATTAGAGAGCCCCAAGGAGGTGAATGTGTCGGCACCATCAACTAATGGCGCATTCGAGGGTTGTGTCGGAATGTCATTTATAGGCTCCAAGGGCTGCTCAGGTGCAGTGGCCGACTTGGGATTGTAGGAGAACAACGACGAAATCACCTCGCGAGACTGGGATGGTTTGCGCGACACCGAGCGGTCTTGGACAGCACTGGTGTGTCTGTTGACAGTAGTTTCGCTTGAGACGGGGGTGAAGTCTCCATTTTCTCGTCGTCGCTTTACTGGTCGGCTTTGGGAATATTCGGATTCCTTCTGTGGCGGTAAAGGGTTATTCTGCCGTTCATTGTCTTCTCCCTTGCGGGCAGCTGGCGTACTCTGCTCAGAAGTCTTGCGCTTCTGTCGGTATCGTGCCACTCGCTGAACGAGCAAGCGCTCCTTCCATGACCCTCCTCTGAATTTGGGCTGATATTGATAGATTGGGGCAGCCTCAGTGGTGGAGAAGTTCAGAAGCATTCCATCGTCCGCCATGGCTCGTGGCTCGTGGCTCATGGCTCATGGCTCTGGAATTTTTAAGAATTGAATGTTTTTTTCTGGAGAGGTGCGGGACATGTCCGCTGCGGAGCTACAAGCACTCCGATTGGCTCGTTGACTCCCACAGAGGGATGAACACCACGCTGCATAACCCATCACACTCCGGCACTCCTGACACGGATCTCGACCTTTTCACTGAGTCACGATGGTAGCTCACTCACCGTTAGTAGAGCTCCACGTAGAACCAGCAGTTTCTGTACACAGTCCACCACTTCGTTGGTCCTGCAGACGAATGCAATGGTAATGATGTTTAGCTTAGTCTCTCCGCTACAAACGCTGAGGTCGCGCCTCGGAGCTCATGCTCGTACGTGTCAATTGTACCCTTTCCAGCGTGCATCAATTTCCACATCGACAAGTTATCGGCCCGACAAGCACAGAGCTGCGACCCCCTCAAACAGCCCAGACACCTCACCCTACCCATTTCGAATCTTCCGTGATGACATCTCTTCGCTACGCAAGTACCGAGGCGAGATTACTCACAACGGCCGCGCTGTTGGCCTCGTGCCTACAATGGGTGCTCTTCATGAAGGTCACCTCGCCCTGATCCGTGCGGCAGCTGCAGAAAACAGCGATGTCTTTGTGTCTATTTTCGTCAACCCAACACAGTTTGGTCCAACAGAAGACCTAGCTACATATCCGCGGACGTGGGATGATGACATGGAAAAGCTGATTGCCCTCAACAATAAATTGACTTTCCCTAATGGGCTGGGTAGGATAAGTGCGGTCTTTGCACCTGGAGTCAGGACAATATATCCCACGCTTCCTCCCTCTTCTGACATTGATGGTGCCGGCTCCTTCGTGACCATCACACCGCTAGCGAACAGATTGGAAGGTGCTGCAAGGCCGACTTTCTTCAGGGGTGTGGCAACGGTTTGTACGAAGCTATTCAACATTATTCAGCCAGAGCGCGTATACTTCGGACAGAAGGATGTGCAGCAGTCGGTATTGATTAATCGGATGGTTCGTGATTTCCACATACCCACTGAAGTTCGTGTTGTAGCAACGACGAGAGAGGAAGATGGTCTAGCGATGAGTAGCCGGAATGTGTATCTTGGCGAGAGGAGAAGACAGGTTGCGCCCATTTTGCATGGAGCGTTAAGAGCAGCCGAGAAAGAGTACGACGAGGGACGATTGTCGCGAACCGAAATGTTCGGTGCTGCGATACATTTTCTGGAGACCGAGCGGCTCAAGTTGACCGACAGGGGATTGGATGCAGTCGAATTCGAGCTCGATTACATCTCGGTGGCTGACGTGGAAGAAATGAACGAGATCAAGGACGAAGTTGACCCAAGGAGGGGCGCTATCATCAGTGGAGCTTTGAAGATGCTTCCAATAAAAGATCCCCAGACGGAAGAGGAAAGGGCACAGAAACCAGTGCGTCTGATAGATAACATCATTCTGACGCCTGTGATAAATGTAGACAACTTTCAGCACTGATGAATCTGCATCCGTGGCATTTCGGAATTGGGTGCCAGGCATCCTATCTCAAGGAGTTTTGCGTACTCGTTAAGCAATCAATATATGTTCCAGAGAGATATCTTCCCGTCTTTGCCTCCAGCGGCGAGCCAATGCGTCATCTGTGCTTTGATACTCCTCTGTTGCCTGATGACTTCGAGCGCGGAATTGGTTGGGTTTCTCGATGCCATAAGAGCTTGGTCATGGCCTGCTTCGGAGGGCATTTCATGTAACCCAAGGGAAAGGGTGTCGGCATATGCAACGGAATAGCAACCATCTTGGTGCCATTTCAGTACTGCCAATTCCTTCAGCGTCTTTGTAGTATATATACGTATCCTTGCATCCCAACCTGCCGTGGCAAAAATCTTGCCATCGTTTCGAACTTTCAGGTCCTGCTGGCCGGCATGTTTGGTATTGTTGGTCTTGGCCGGTTTGATATTCTTATCGCTATCAAAGTTAGAAGTCGGAATAGCAAGTTTGCCAATCACAGCGTCTGCAGAAGACGTAAAATAGAAGTCTTTGGATGGTAGTGTGTCCAAGGACAGTACCGGCTGGCTGTGCGGTCGGCTGACCAGAATCATCTCCCACTTCCAGTTTTCTTCTGGTGATGCCATCGGTTTGCGTTGGTGTACCATAGTCCGCCCATCCTCATAGCCCGAGATCACCGTGAGCAGCCCGGTCTCGGGCTGATGAAAAAGATCAAGTGCCATTACCATGCCGGTCTTGACCTGAGGATCGGCCGGGAGAACCGAGACGCGGCGCTCGGATGGTAAGTGGAAGAAATCAATACCTCCAGAATCGAGAGCGTTCGGGGCCGCGATGATCGCCTGACATTCAGCATCCTCTGCACTTCCAGCGTTGGAAGCAATGCACATGGCGAAAGCACAAAAATTCAACGCGCTCACTTCCATTGAATGCAGCAGCCATGGCTGCTCTCTTTCCGTTCCGTGAAGTCCCTCCTCAGCAGGTAATCGTGCGTCGAGCGTCTCCCCCTCGAGGCTCGCCTCCGTCACTTGCCACGCGCGTAGCTTGTGATCACGACCATGTCTACCACGGATATCAGTAGAGTCGCTGGAAGAAGGTTGTCTTCTCGGCTCACGTAATCACGCGATTCTCCCACACCTTGATGCCTAGAATGCTCCCTTTGTGGCCTTGCCAGCAAGCTGCTGGTCGCTTAGATGCCAGGCGCCAGACCACAATCCAGCCCTCGGAGTCGCCGGAGACCAGATAGGCATTTCGCTTGTAGAACTGAAGTGCATGTACGGGTGCTGTATGCCCTCGGAGAATGAATGCTGGTGTTGCCGGTGGCAGGTTTCCTGCTGATGACATTGCTATGCCGATTATCAGGGAAGCTAAGGTGACAGCAACTTACACAGGTGATCATAGGAGCAGTCTACGTCCTCGTTTCAGCAGCCAAAGAAGATCTGAAGTATCACCAAAGATTTTGATGACAAACATGATTGCCAAGCGTGTGTAAAGCAGTTCCCAGTTCGTTGTTGTAAGTCACAATTTCATTATAAGGAGTAAGCCTTAGAGAAACTGTTGAATTTTCGTTCAGAGAGTTTAAATGAGGGTGTGCTGGTGATAGTATATGCACATACTGCATGTTCTCCAGCATGAAGATATAAGAAAGAGATAAGATAAAGTCTATTAGAAATGACACCAATGGTGATATTCTTAAGCAACACACATATAGTTGCGACGGATCATCATCCGAGCCATACCTATACCGATGTCCCTGATACGCTTGCACTGGAAAGTAGCTAGCCACCCATGATCACCCAAGACTGCTCTCTAAAGAATGCTCCTGATTTAATGATGTACTATGAAGACACAAGCGAGGAAGTTTCACGGCTGAATACGGTGATTATTCGTCATTGCCCATTGGGGCAAGCACCGTCTCCCTTGGTAGGATAGTACCTGGAGGGCTAGTTAGCTGATAGTGATCTGAGGTTGGATAGGGCGTGCCTTACCAAGCGGATAGTGCAATGATGAGATAGAGCGTCATTAGCAGGACACCCTCGAGCCAATGACTTTTTCCATCCTGAATCAAATAGTTCACGAGCAGGATTGAGATGAAGAGTACCACCACTTGATACCCGTCGAACCATAGGGTCATATCATCATGGCCGGTGATCCAGCCAAGAATGACGATCAATGGGAGTACAAGCAAAGCAATTTGCATGCTCGATCCAACAGCAACACCAATGCTCAGATCCATCTTGTCCTTGACGGCCACCGTAACGGCGGTAGCGTGCTCAGCGGCATTGCCCACAATAGGTAGAAGGATGAGTCCAACGAATGTCTTGGAGACACCGCTCCCACAGACCGTGATAGCATCAATAGAGCTGACCATAAACTCGGCGCAGAAGGCGACCAGGACAGTCGAGACGGCAAGGGTGGCAATTGCAACCCAGATGTGGAGTTGTGGGACTTCGTCCTTCTCCGCCTTGACCTTTGCGTTCTCCACTTGTAATGCGCTCCGTCGTGCTTGGTCACTTGAGCTTCGTCGCTTGAGTTTCTGCCTGATCTTGCGTGCACCTCGACCAATATCTCGCTTTTCTGCTTTTTCGCTTTCCTTGGTATACATCTCCACATGCGACTTCAGCTGGAAGAAAAGGTAGCAGGCATAGACAATCAAGAGGATGATAGAAGTGCCACGAGAGATTGGGGCAATGCCTTCGCTGCCGGCGGATACGTCATTTTCTGCCTCGGGATCTTGGGCAGTCTGATTGTCACCAGCGAAAGAGTGGAAAGCCGTCGGTAGAACTAGACTTCCAATTGCCAGAGCTAGCAGGCTTGATGCGGTTTGTGCTACAACAACATTGAAGCTCTGTTCAAATCGGTTGAGACCACCAAAGAAAAAGGCCATGCCCAGGACCAGAAGCAGATTCGAGAGCATACTTCCGATCAAAGACGTCTGAACGATTAATATCTCATCCTTGAGTAGCGCAATGATCGAGACAATGAGCTCCACGGCATTTCTGGGCAAATCAGCATAAAGGAGACCAAGATTAGGGAAAGCATGCTTACCCAAATGACGCGTTGAGAAGGCCTCCCACAACCTCGCCCGTCCTTAGGGCAATCTCTTCTGTTGCATAACTCAACAGCGCAGCCAGTGGAATGATTGCGATGAAGTTTATAACGAAGATTGCAACAGGAGTGATGTGTACGTAATTGACAATGATACCCACCGGGACTAGGTTCATCAGTAGCTTGACCAGAGGATCGGCAGGTTTCTCAGCTTACCGGCAATTAAAAGCACATTTATCCAGGAATTGAACAACGTTGCTCTAATCTGATTGCCAAATGTGTAATGTGGTTTCTCCAAGTCGTCCCCTTCGGGCTTATCGCTACCTACCACTTTCTTCTCCCGGCGGAACATGCCTTTCAAGCCCTTCCGTTGCCGAGGCTTCTCACTCGTAGGTGTATCCTCAATCGCGATGGTGTCACCGCTCGTCGAGTCTTTTGTCTCTTCTAATGGAAGTGGGCTATCCTCCAGTGGCGCCTCTTGCTTCGGGCTAACTGTTCGAATAATCTCAAACTGTGTACTATCACTTCCTGGAACATGCTCTGTGCGCGATCGACCTGAGATTGGCGCAGTACCATATCTTTGTGGTGTGTCGGCTGCAGCGCCCATTTCAGCTCGCCGGTTGGAGACATCTGCATGTCGATGCTCCTGATCAGTTGTACTTCGTGTCAAGCCGCCGTCGCCGTTCTCGGCATTTCGTAGGGCATTCTTCTTTCCCAGGAGATCTGTCCTAACCTTTCGAAAAGGATTGAAGTTGGCAGGCTCATCTGGTTCATCATACCACGCTGCATGCTTTGCTTCACCGCGTAACTTATCTAGATATATGGTAAGCGTCTGACATAGATAGTTCCTTCTGGAAGGACTGACGCATGTTGAAAGGACCTCCCTATCAGATTGGGTTGCGGTAAAAAGTTCTGAGTAAGGCGTCTCAGGCAGACAATGCAGTCGATCAGAGTTGGCTCGCCAACAATTAGACGAACCAGGCTTAGCACGAACCTGATAAACCGTGCAGGTATGCTTGGGGTCTGGACTTGTGCACAGCAAAGGGGCCAGAAGACATCCAGGAAAGAGGTAGGAGGTGGGTTATCAATAGTCCTCTTGCACATTGACAAAATAGGATACGGTGCTTCTGATGACGTTTGTAGGCGCTATGGCGGTTGGAGAATGATTGGAGTCTAACCCAAATTTTATTGTTGAGAAGTCTGGGGAAGCACTGCAGTGCGCTTCTGCATTATCTTACCAGTCGTCTCTCGGGCGACCACCTCCTGGAAGGAGTCCGGAAGCCCAAAACTATGGCTGCAATTCCATTGCGCAGCGCATTCCCAGTCCCTTGATCAAGGGCTCCCTCGTCAGTCAGGCGAACGTCATTACTGCTCTAGACAGTGCATACGTGGGAAGCACTCCTATCGCTTCAGGACAAGTCATCATCATTGACAAAGACAGACCACGCCTATAATAAAGTCTCTTGACCACCTTTTACTAGGCTCTAGAGAAAATGCTTAACACAAGACAAGGAAGCTTATTCCCAGTCAAGCATGCTTGGAATCGACCCACTTGCCGCCTTGGAAAATCTTGTGGAGTTTTAGTCTCTTGGCTGGGCAGGCACGGTTGCCTACTGTACTAGTAGTATGTAGGTCCTTAGGGCGAGATTCGGCCAAAGAGGACAGCTACGCATTAATATGGATGCACAAGAAAAATTCTTAACAGCCGAGACAAATGCCACAGTATGTGATCCACAACAATTTGCCAGAGCTAACGAATGCTATGCGCACGAATATCTCTGAGCCAGTTATTGCGGGCATCTTTATGAGGTCTAAGTACAGAAACAGGTCTGTTCATGGCAACAGGCTTTAGTGAGGCTGGAGAACAACCTCAAGGCTGTGGATCTCTGAAGGCGGTCACCTGGGTAAAGCAAAACCATGAGCATGACTTGACGCCAGACATTAGTAACACAAGGCAATCCATCCACATTTCTTTTACGGCCCACTCAAAAATTCCAAAAACCTTCGACGTTGTGTTCTATTGATTGTGTGTGTGCAGCAACGAATTTGTTGTCTCGTCTATCAGCATATGGCAAATCTGATTACTAAATCTTTGTCATTAGTTAGATCGGACGAATCTTGTCCGGCAGTGGTGACAAACCACTATCATCTTATCCAAGAACAATCAGGGATTTTCTTGGGGGGACACTCGTTGATTTCTCTAATACCGTATCTCATTGACGCGGGTCTTTTCTTTCGTTGTCTGACCTATATTTCCAGCATATTTATGGTTTCACTGCTCGCAAGATCTATCCCAAGATTCGCCAAGATTCCTTTGACGTTGTCGGCATTTGTCAAACATATTCCTCGAGCAAATTTCTTCTCCCCAATGCAGAACCAAAATACTATGGCTTCTGCAGAAACAGCTCCGCAGGCTCAGAACGCGACGCAGTCTCCTGCTACGGTGCCCAAGCTTTCCCCATCAGATTTGACAGCATACAACAGATTAGCCGAACTCATGGACTTATATGTGAGCATACGTCTATCTCTCAAATGAGCTCGGGTTATTGACGACAGTAATCCTAGCATAACCATTTTCGCCAGACTTGGAACACTATCTACGCTGCATGTACCGCAAACCGACGCCCTGCCGGCATGTCCATTCGGCAATTCCTATCCACCGGCCTGCAATTCTGCCGCAATCTTGAGGCCCACCATTCCATTGAGGAAACATATGTCTTTCCAATGCTTTCCCGAAAGATGCCCCAGTTCCAGAAGCAACAGCATTTACTTGAGCAGCACAGAGAAATACACAAAGGGTTGGATCTATTTCAGCAATATTTGGGAATGTGTAGTAGTGGGCAGCGCGAGCTAAGGCTTGAGGAGTTGAAAGAGATAATGGATGGGTTTGGTAAGGTGTTGTGGGCACACTTGGATGACGAGTCAAGACCCTGGGTGCAGAGAACATGAGAAAGTACTGGACAGTACAGGAGATGAACGAAATGCTGGTGTGACGTTGATACTAACGTCTTTCTGGTTAACGTATGAACGTGGAGCTTTTTCCGGAGGACTTGGCGTATTTCACACAACCATTCTATCCCCATCCGCAGCTCCGGCCGGTATTCTCCCATCATTCAGCTCTTTCTCCAGCCTTGCGATTTCCTGTAAACTCTTCGCTTCCCTGATCATCTTCTCTACCCTCTTCTTTTCCGTCTCCGTCAGCTTCACCCTCATAACCTTCTCTGCCGGTGCTGCCCTTCCGTTCGCGGTTGCGGCACCTACGTCAAACGTCCTCGATTTGGTTCCCATGATTTTTGATGCCAATGCTGAAGGTTCTTTCTCCGTGCCAAACAACTCCTTTGCTCTTTGTCGCTCAACATCCTTGATTTTCTGAAAGTCGAGGAAGCGGATTGATCGTATGCGCCAGATAATCCAGTATCGATAGTGCTACTCTCCAATCATCAGCCAAGCGACCTTCCATGAGAAAGAGAGACCGTCTAACCTCCTTTCTAACCACTGGATTCTCCAACAGACTCAAGTGCGTCAATCTCACCAATTTCCTTAACGGGTCCAAATCCGCCAGCTCGGCAACATTGTTACTCGTCAACACCAAGGTGTGCAGATTAGGCAGACTATCGGCCAGATTCGGCTGGATTTGCCGTACCCGATTCCTCGCCAGTAATAAAGTACTCAGTCTAGGTGATAGAGGAAAGTTTGAAATGGAGGTGATATCGTTATCTGTGAAGTCTATGGCATCTTGTGGGCCGGCAACCCCGAGGTTCTCTATTGTCGCGATTTTGTGGCCTGTAGGTTTGAGAAACGAGTGTGGATGTCAATGTAGCTCAGCGTGTAGTATCTGTCCTTTTCAGCTAGACGCACCTCTGAGATCCAGTTCGCGCTCTTTGAGAGGGTTGAGGTAGGAGAGGGAATTGTTTATCAGATCGGGCGTGAGACGCATCGTTGTTTATGACGCGGTACGAGGGGATTTATGAGACTAGGTGGGATATAAGGTTATAATTGTTCTCAATTGGGCGAGCATCTCATTGTGGATCGGATCTGTTGCAGTCTCGAGGTATAACAGCGTAATAATCTAGCCATAAGAAAATGTCGTAGAAACGAATCGCAGCCCTCGGCCTTGGTTTTTCGGGAGTCCCCGGGATCGCGGCAAGCTCTCCTCTTTACCTCCGCATTTTTCGCATCCAGCAGCAGCATCTCAATTCTCTGCTATTTAACGCTGAGCGCTCAGTAGGGAGTTGTGCTATGGCGTTAGCAGGGAAGGAGGACGAGGACTATAACCACTTTCTGGCACACCCAAAAGACCTGGTTGCTGAGCGGAGCGTCCTCCAGCATCATGGACAACACTAGATCTGCTGTCACGATGGAGCTTCCTCTCTCTGGAGGGCCAGGTTCGGAAGCAGACCTTCCTCTTCAGCATGACTCGACAGAGCAGAATCTAGTGGAACATATGGCCCGCTTCGAGGTCAATCCATATGAGTGGTTTCGCGAAGTAGCCCTCTTCGTTTCCGGTTCTGGTTGGCGAGCATATGAAAAAGTCACCGGCCAGCCCGTGTTCTACTCTGGCTATACGGAGAAGATCAAGTCAGGGATCATGGCATCACCAATGCTACAACGAATGCTGGCAGAATTGACAGGGAAGAGGCTGGAGGTCGAAGAGCAAGAGCATCTGCTGGATCGAACGTCTCCCACGTTTGAGACGGACAAGGTGAAACGACAAGATGAGATTATCTCCAGTCTCAGGGAGGCTACAAATACGATGATTGATAACATGGTGTGCAAAATGGAGAGCAAATACTTCATCCGAAGTGCCTATTATATGGTCACACAGCTACTTACACGCGCATATCATCAAGGTATATATGTCGATCGGCAGGAAATTGACCGGTTGCGAAGCTACGCGGATATGGCTGCAAAGCAAAAACGATCAATCATTTTCCTACCTTGCCATAAATCACATCTGGATTATGTCTCGCTACAGTTGATATGCTATCGTCTTGGCTTTACACTCCCTGTTGTTGTTGCTGGCGATAACCTCAACTTCCCTCTTGTTGGTAGCTTTCTTCAGCACGCTGGAGCTATGTGGATCCGACGAAGCTTTGATAAGGATCCTCTTTATATTACTCTTGTCCAGACGTACATTGATACCCTGCTGCAGAATGGATACAACTTTGAATGTTTCATAGAAGGTACAAGGTCACGGACCGGCAAGCTTCTTGGTCCTCGATTTGGGATCTTGAGCTTCTTGCTGGACAGTGTTATTACTGGTCGCACTGAAGATGCTTATATTTGTCCTGTCAGCTCTCAGTACGATAAGGTCATTGAAGTGGACTCCTATGTCAGTGAACTGTTGGGTCAACCAAAGCAAAAAGAGAATCTCTCTGGGTTTCTATCCGCTTCGTCCGTGCTTACGCTCAAGCTCGGTCGTGTAGATGTGCGCTTCCACGAGCCATGGAGTTTAAAGGATTTCATCAAGTCACAAGAATTACGACCGTCTCATGCACCTAACCAGGGTAGCATTGAGCGGAGCAAAGAGGTTAGATCTCGAATGCTGAGGACCTTGGGCTATAAAGTGCTCTCTGATATAAATGCTATTTCTGTCGTCATGCCAACTGCTCTAGTCGGCACTATCCTCTTAACGTTGCGCGGCCGCGGAGTTGGACGCTCTGAGCTGATTCGCCGGGTTGATTGGCTGTGTGGAAGGATTCAGGCAAAAGGTGGCAAAGTAGCCCACTTTCATGGCGCACCAACGGGCTACGTTGTTGATCGTGCTCTTGAAGTACTTGGTCCGTCTCTGGTTGGCACTGTTGAAGGCCTTGCCGAGCAGACTTTCTACGCCGTCGATCGTTTCCAAATGTCCTTCTATCGCAATATGACAATCCATCTTTTTATATCAGAAGCTCTTATCGCAGCTGCTATGTATACGCGCGTCAAGCAAGGTGGAGGACCAGCAATCCAGCGAATGGTACAGGCCGAACTGACGGACCAGGTGACATTCCTCTCACAGCTCTTCAGAGGAGAGTTCATCTTCCCAGCTGGTGAAGGTCTCGCCGCTAACCTCGAGAGAGCCGTTGCTGGTCTTCAAGCAGACGAAGTCATCGAGGTTTTTACAAGCTATGAGGGCAAGACATATGCTGGCTTAACCGACATAGAGCGTCAACGCGGCCGAGAAAACTATGATTTTTATTGCTTTCTGATATGGCCATTCATCGAGGCTGCATGGCTCGGTGCGGTATCCCTCATGTGCCTTACCCCTCCTTCTGCCGCGGAAGTGGACATTTGGATCGACATGAAGAAAGCACAAGATAGCGCGCAACTTCTGGGTAAGACGTTGTATCATCAAGGCGATCTATCATATTTTGAAGCTGTCAACAAAGAATCACTCAAAAATGCTTACAGTCGCTTTGCGGAAGAAGGCATTATTGTGGTAGCAACTAATAAAGACTCTAAAGCTGGTCCAACCATGCGACTTTCGCCAGACTGGACACCGAGGCGTGATGGACAGACAGGTGCATTATTACTGCAGGGCAGATTGTGGGACTTCACAGAGAAGATTGCCAAGTGCAGGAGAGAGGGCAAGAACAGAAGGGATGGTGCTACCGTGTCTACCAGAGTCTTGTCCATGGCTAATAAGCTTGGACTTGCGCTTTTTGAAGATATGATCTCGTCTCGAACCGCACCGAACGAACCATTAGTCGCACCGAAGAAGGTTCAACGCCGCTCGAAGTTATGAGATCATCTCCAATTCATTCAGTTCTCTGTGTCCCAGCAAAGCCATTGAGGAGCAACAGCTGAGACAGAATCGAGAGAGAGCCACTGCTTTACTCTTTAACGAATAGCTTTCGTTAGGCTTTACGCAAGAAGAATGAGCCCACCACTGAAGATAGCGGGAAGTAGCCTTATGAATTTGCGAGGTACATCTCCCCTCCCCATTGCTTATCTTCATACAATCTGGGCCCTCCACGTTCAGAGCCAAGTCAAAGCAAAATAGAGCAAAAGTGTTAGGACCGGACATAATCAATCGGTCCTATCCAGTTTTCGTAGGCAGGTTCTTTCATCATAGACGACGTTGCCATCTCCGAAAAGACGTGAGGTAAGTGGCTTTTTCGAAGTGTTGAGTTGAGAGGGTGCCAGCCAATGGATCGACCGTAACACAGATATCTGTTGATCCGCACGCATGGACTGAAACATACTGACTTCTGGACGACCTGCAAAAGATGGGGCAACCGATGGGAGGGATATGTATATATGTCATTAAGGGCGGTAGGGCTTTCTTGGGAAAATAGCCTGCTCAGTACGGATCAGAGATCCTGTAATCGTGTGCTCGCTCCTCGGTATGTAGCGCGTATGTGCGTATGCGAGAGCGAGAGCGAGAGTGGGAGTGAGAGTTTATATAGCACGCACTACCATACAACGGGAATTTGTACATATCATAACCACCACACATACATTCAATGCCTGTCAAACACCGCCGGGTGGATTTCTTTCATTCCTAGGCGTGTTCAAACCTTGGGAACCCTAAACGAGACTATAAGTGGAATAGCTTGCCTCTAGTATCCTATGGCTGGCATAATTTAATCGTAAGAGGATCTCTCTTTTTCAACGTGCTTGGCGGACGTGGCTTGGCCAATGTTTTACCGCATATATCACGCAACCCCTTATGTCAGGCTGGTCTTGCACTTGCTCAGCATCTGTATGCGGCCATCGTGTGTCTGCACTAAGCAATTTCTGAGGTTCAGGCTTGTTAACATACATATCTTTGTATGTCATGTACTCCATACATGTCCTTGCTATGCATGTTGGGATTGGTAGATTGAGCTTCAATCCTTTCTTCTTTTTCTCTCTTTCCTTCCTCTTGCAAGGAAAAGATTAGAGACTGTTGGACCAAAAGGCTGCGGCTCTCGGAGAACCGATAAATACCCACCTCATGCCTGACAGTATCCTTGTCAAGAGTAGTGTTCCCACGATTTAATGTCTTCTTCTTGCCAATCGTCCTCCTTTGGCTTGGCCGCTGACTGAGTCAGGGTGCTCTCCATTCTTTCTTTCTGCTCTTAATTCCACCGCAACATCTCCTTGTTCTTGATTCTTCCCTTGTTCCTTTCCGAGTTCACCTTGTTTATTCATTTCTGAAGAGGCAATGGCAATGCAAACTCAAACAAACCCGCTCACAGCCTTGCATGCCCGATCTGCAGACGTCTCCGAGTCGGACTTGACCGCGGCGCCGGCCTTACCACCAGTATCACGCAAGAAGCAAGCTGCAGTGCTTTGCCCTGCCTTTGTGGCTATAGCCCTTACAATAGGCTACAACCAATGCTGGGGTGTGTTTCAAGAGTATTACCTTTCGTCTAGCCAAGATATTCTGGTGCCCTCTCCGGCCTCACGGGTCTCACCACCGACTGCGCTGCTCGCCTTCGTAGGCTCGCTGTGCTATGGGCTTACGTGGGCAGGCGGCAACCTCGTGAATCCTGTCATTCCACGTATTCAGCATGGAGATTGGCCCCAAACCACACCATCGACTCGGCTATGGCGCCGCAGGATTCTGCGCTTATTGGCACCACGGACAATCACTATTTCAGGCGTACTCATAGTGTCCGCTGGGTTCGCGCTGGCCTCCGTCAGCAGTTCTGTATGGCAGCTCCTGCTTGCACAGGGTTTTTTGGCTGGCTTTGAAATGTCACTCCTGTACTTCCCGCTGCTAGCTCCTGCGCCTGAGTATTTCACCAACCATCGGGCCACGGCCATGGGCTTCGTAAGTTTTTCATCCACGGTTCCTTTTTTTTTTCTCTTCAGACGGGGCGTCATAGCACTATCATGTCTTTCTGTCCCGAATGGAAGCTGTATTTCAGCTGTTTGGGCAATGCAGTCTTTCCCCTAAAATTCCTAGAGGCACTACTACTAATTCCGCGGTGCATCTCTTAGATCCTAGCCGCCGGCGGCACCGGCGGTCTCATACTCTCACCCATGATCCGGGCGCTGCTCAGCTCCGTCGGTGGTCGCTGGACCCTCAGGCTTTATGCCGGCCTCAACCTGATCGCCGGGTTACCAACCGCCTGGGCAGTGCCACGGAGTCAATTTGCAGCAAGATCGACAGCAGAAGACCCGGAGAGACGGAATACCCACGTCTCACGCGCTTTGGCCTCGAGAACGACGTTTCTCTTCTCTGCTGTGGCCGCGTTCCTCCAGGTTTGTGCTCAAGAAGCCTTTGCCTTGTTTTCCTGATGGAACACTGTTAGCTGTAAATCTGAAAACCGTGACCCTGGGGTTACTGCTTTAAATCCCAGTCTAAATTCGTTGCATCCATCCTCAAGCCTCTGTGGCTGACTCTCAACCCCCTCCAGGCGGCCGGCGCCCAACTCCCCCTCTCCTTCATTCCTTCCTACACCGTGATCCTCGGCCTCTCCGCCTCCAAGCGTAGCAACTCTCTCGCCGCCAGCAACGCCATCAACACCGTGTCGCGCGTCTTGACCGGCTACCCCGGCCCGCATCTAGCGTCTTCGCCTTCTGGCTCTCTAGCATCCTCACAACCACCTCGTCCACTCTTTCGCTCTGGCTGGCTTTCATCGTGCTCTACAGTTTTTCTGCCGGCGGGTACTACGCGCTGTTTCCGGCCCTCATCGCCGAGGTCTTCCGCATCCGGCAGTATGCTGCTGTGAACGCGTTTATACTTTTCGTAAGGGGTCTGGGCGCTATTTTTGGAAGTCCTGTTGGAGAGCAGCTGCTCGGGAATTTGGAGGAGGGAAGTAGAGCGTATGCTGGTATTGCGTATTGGGATGGGCCACTGTTGGTGGGCGCCACGGTGTGTTGTGTTGGAGTACGCTGGGCTCATGTAAAGGAGAAGGGATGGAAGTGGGTTGCTTGAGACCGATATAACCCAAACCACACTGAAGGTAGATGTTACAGATAAATAGGAGCAGCTATAGCCGGGTAGGGGCCAGCCACATCAAGCTCTCTTATACTACTCTCTCATAGCATTGGGAGCCAGAAATCACTGCTCCCTGCTGCGTGACGGTGCTCCTTCACTACTCCCTCTCAAGCGGCGCTATTCTATTTCTTGATTGAAAACGGCAAGCTACGTAGTACAATTCCAATTTAGGGTGAATATTAAGAAACTGATAGCCCTTTAACGTTTGACAGTTTTAAAGATCTCAAAAACAAGGCTATTCCGCAGCTTAGTCAGCAGGCGCCTTGACCTCTGTACCTGAACTCACGAGATTCATCGGTCCGGAGGTCTTCGGTCGGTGTGCGGGGTAATTAGTGACAGCGCATGCAGGCCCGCCTATTCGTCTAGTGGCTCTGCTTGCTCTCTACAACATTATCCCAACGGCGAGGCCAGGTAATGCTATTCAGCATCAGGCTCATGCCGCTTAAATGGAGAATATGATCAACACTACACTACTCATTCTGGCGCTGGTAGTGCCCGCCCTCGCCGCTGATGACTGGGACAGCTTCTACAACAACTTCGCTACGGATTTAACCCCTCTTTTGGCCTTGTTCGGAGAGCAAGTCACCAAGCAGTTTCTGAGTGAGTCAACTAGTGTGCTGGACAACATCATTTTCGCCGCAGCCCCGTTGGGCATTCTGACAGCTGTGGTGTCCGTCATCCGTGTCTGTGGAAACCCATCACTTAGAGCATTTGTTGGAAGAGCACAGGAAGGCCACGGAGCTGCTGAAGCCGAGCTCTGTTCATCCACCAGTCGTGACGTTTGTGAGCTTTGGAATCGTGGAGGAATTGCGCGCGTTTTTGGTCGGCCCAAGATTCTCGAATTCGTTCATGATCAAAACAGCAGCGACTTCTACCAGGGGCTTGATGGCCATGCACCTACAGCTGGTCTTCATAGACCTGCGAAGTTTTTCCCATATACCGGTGACCCGACGACGTCGTGTGCAGGAGCGAATCAAACAAGAACTGTCAAAAGACTTAACGGAGGACCTAAGAACCCTGAAAATTCCGAGATTCAGACCGATTCAGAGCAAAACAATGACCCTGAGAGACTAGAACGCAGCCGATTCGCGCCAAGCCCCAATCTATCGTTGAATATCGGTATCAAGAAGCCTTCACGCTTCTGGGTTCTGACAGCAGTACTTCTTGGATGCTTTTTACAAACAGCGGTTCTGGGATTCGCTATTTGGGCAACGTATTTTCGTCGGCTCCTTAAAGATGGGCAGCCTATACCCTATTGGGCATTCCCTCTGACTGCTGCTGGGACTAGTTCTCTAGTTGCGGGCATGTTTCTGTGTGCGTGGCTAATTGAAAGAAGCACCGAGGAAATCTTCTTCAAGAAAAGAGCTCGGATGTATTGGTTGCAACCTAGCAATCAGAGTGTGGGCGATCAGACTTTCGATGCCTTTGCTCATCGGGCGGATCTGGAGGAGTACGTGACCTCATGGAAGCTGGAGGGATCTTTCCAACCACAGCATGAGCCGCTCGTTTGGACTGCAGTTGCCGTCACCATGGCTGGTTTCATCCTGCAGTTTATCGGGCTGCGGGGCCTACACTCCTTGGTCGCATTATCTCAGCTCGGCGCAACCCTCGTGATGGCAGCTGTTCGAGCCGGCCTTCGAACCCAACGTCTCGGGGAAGACAAGAACGACCTAGGACGTATTCTTGACATTATCGAAGGGCATGAACTTGACTGGCAATCCTTTCAGATTGAATCGTACTCAGGAACGTGGCAGGTTATTCACCCTTTCTCAGCACTTCTGAGAAGCTGGAGTGGCTGCTTGGTGGAAAATGGGCTCCAAGAAAACGAGTCCATTTTCTGCATCACTTCGAGAGACGACACCAAAGACCGCAGCTTTCGTGACGATCCTGATGCAGCCGCCGCAACCGCTGCAGTGAAGTGGATCTCAATTCTACAGTGCGAGCAAAGTGGCACTCATAACCCCGGTTTGGAGAAGCCGAACCGCGCGGCAAGGATTATGTATTACAGAGCTAGGCTTGCCCGTTTGACTGACGTGGAGGCTCCGAGTCTTTCTCAGCGATGGCAGACTGATGTTCGACATCGCGCCAACAGCCTAGGCCAGGCTATTGAAGACGCGGTCAAAGTCATCTTTTCGGGCGATGTAGAATTGAAGAAAGAGTGGAGAGATGCGTCCGCCATATTCTGGAGAGTTGCTTGCAGACTCAGCTGTTCAGGTGACAGATCCAAGGAAGATCTACCTCTCTACCTCCTTATCCGACGCAAATATGGCATGTGGCAAATCGATAGATCTGAGTTAGAGGCCGTTCTTGGACTGTGGAGCTGGTCGTTAAGAGGATCCCCACTCGCCAATGCCGACAACTTCTCCAAAGCATATGCCTTGGCAGCAACTCCCGATCAGGTGGAACAAGCCAAGGTGGACCTTACAATGTGGGTTTCAAGGGAGCTTCCCCCTCTTGTTGTGGACAAAATGCCCCTGGATAGTCTGTCCCTTGTTACTGAAGATGATGTTGGCTCTGAAGAGCATGTTTGTAATACCACTCCTAAATATGATCGGACACGGAGTCTCCTTTCTATCCCTTTTGCAACTGCTCGATATAATTTGGATGGTTCGGCTGGCTCGGACAAAGGCAATGATGACATGAAAATTCTTTCTGTTCCGACGAAGAATAGTCTACTGGCCATGTGCGCTCAAGACATATTCACTTCCTTCATTGATAGCGCTGCAGCTATTATCTTAAATCTGTCGGACATAAAGCCAATGCTACAGAGCGATCTCGATACTCCTCAGGTACAAGACGGGCAACGTGATTTCCGATTTTCCAATCGTCACCTCGACCGTATTGCAACGGCATTTGCAGAGGCTGGTCTAGGTTCCAAAGAAGATGCCTTAATGAGCGTTATTCCATCCCTTCGGGCGAGGTCAATACTCCCTCTACCAGATAAAGTATATGATACGGTTCTGTCACTGGGCAAAGATCGCAGGCGGAGTGGAAGGTTCACTGAAGGGGAAGATCTTCTCCACTGGCTATATTACAACGTCACGGACACGGAATCTCCCAATCGAGAAACGGTAGCGAGGGAATTGGGAGAGCTGTATCGTCGAGCGATGCGAAATCCCCAAGATGAGATCCGAGATTTCGGTTACCGTGGCATTTTTTGGATGTTGCGTTCTCTTAAGGGATCTGATTGGATGATCAAACTGAAGGACCGCTACGGATGGGTTGCCATCCAGATCGCGTTGGGGAAAAAGGACGAGAAAACATGCAGAGAGCTTGAGGATGCAGAGGTAAACCGTTCACTAGTCAAAGAATTTGAGAAAATGGCCCTCTTTGATGTGGTCCGGTCCGATCAGATCTATCCTGTTGGACTACTAGTAACTGAGAAATGGAAGGATGACATCCGCAAGCCACTCGCTGGTCTCGAACAGTCGCTACTATCTTTTGCAGCACAAAGGGGTTGTATAGAATTAGTAGAAGATTTACTTGAGGAAGGCACAGACCTCGATTCGAAAGATGTTATGAACCGTACCCCAGTTTTCTATGCTTCAGAAGCAGGGCATTACGATATAGTTCAACATTTCTTGGAGGCGGGAACCATTCTTGTAACTCGCGACAGAAAAGGTCAGACACCGTTGTCGCGGGCGGCGGCGAACGGGCACGAAGCGGTGGTCAAGCTGCTGGTCGAGCGGGGCGTGGACTTAGAGTCTAAGAATGAGCACAAGTACGGCGGTCGGACGCCGCTATTGTGGGCGTCGGCGAACGGGCACGAGGCGGTAGTCAAACTGTTGATCGAGCGGGGCGCGGATGTAGACCTGAAGGACGACGAGGATCGGACGTCGTTATCTTGGGCGGCGGCGAACGGGCACGAGGCGGTGGTCAAGTTGCTAATTGAGCGAGACGCGGACGTAGAGTCTAAGGATAAGAATAATAGTCGGACGCCGTTATGGCGGGCGGCGAAAAACGGCCACGAGGCGGTAGTCAAGCTGTTGATCGAGCGGGGTGCGGATGTAGACCTGAAGGACAACAAGGGCCGGACGTCGTTATCTTGGGCGGCGGCGAACGGGCACGAGGCGGTGGTCAAGTTGCTAATTGAGCGAGACGCCTGGAGTCCAAGAACGATTGGGGGTCGCTATGGTGGGCGCGAAAGAACGGGTATGAGGCGGTGGTTGAGCTACTAGTTGAGCAGGGCGTGGACCTGGAGTCTAAGGACGAGCGGGGCGTGGACCTGGAGTCTGAGGACAAGTACCAGTATAATAGTCGGACGCCGCTATCGTGGGCGGCAGCGAACGGGCACGAGGCGGTGGTAAAGCTGCTGGTTAAGCAGGGCGCGGATGTAGAATCCAAGGACGAGTACGATAGTCGGACGCCGCTGTCGTGGGCGGCGGCGAACAGGCATGAGGCGGTGGTCAAGCTGCTAATTGAGCGGGGCGCGGATGTAGAGTCTAAAGACGAGTATAACGGTCAGACGCCGTTATCGTGGGCGGCGGAGAACGGACACGAGGCGGTGGTCAAGCTACTAGCTGAGCGGGATGCGGAGGTGGACTCGAAGGACAGCGGGGCCCGGACGCCGTTGTCGTGGGCGGCGGCGAATGGGCACGAGGCAGTAGTCAAGCTATTAGTCAAGCGGGGCGCGGATGTGGACTCGAAGCATAGCAAGGGCCGGACGCCGCTGTTGTGGGCAGCGGAGAACGGGCACGAGGCGATAGTCAAGCTACTAGTCGAGCGGGGCGCAGATGTGGACTCAAAGCATAGCGAGGGCCGGACGCCGTTATCGCGGGCCGCGGCGAACGGGCATGAGGCGGTTGTCAAGTTGCTAATTGAGTGGGGCGCAGACCTGGAGTCTAAGGATAAATATGATTACGACGATCGAACGCCGTTATTATGGGCAGCGGCGAACGGGCATGAGGCGATAGTTAAGTTGCTGATTGAGCGGGGCGCAGATGTGACGTTTAAGAATAATAAGAGGGATTGGGGGTCGTTATTATGGGTGGCGGTGTACGGGTATGAGACGGTAATCAAGTTGCTGATTAAGCGGGGTGCGGACGTAGACCCAAAGGACACCAAGGGCCAGACGCTGTTATCGCGGGTGGCGGAGCATGGGTACGAGGCGGTGGTCAAGCTGTTAGTCGAGCAGGGCGCAGACGTGGACTCAAAAGATAACAAGGGCCGGACACCGCTATCGTGGGCGGCGGAGAACGGACACGAGACAGTGGTCAAGCTACTAGTCGAGCGGGGCGCAGTTATGGACTCGAAGGACAATAAGGGCCGGATACCGCTATCGTGGGCGGCGGAGAACGGATACAAGACGGTTGTCAAGCTACTGGTCGAGCGGGGCGCAGATGTGGACTCAAAGGATAGTGAGGGCCGGACGCCGCTGTTGTGGGCGGCGGAGAACGGGCATGAGGCCGTAGTCAAGCTGCTAATTGAGCAGGGCGCGGACGTGGACCTGAAGGACAATGAGGGCCGGACGTTGTTATCGTGGGCAGCGGAGAACGGACATGAGACGGTGGTTAAGCTACTAGTTGAGCGGGGCGCAGACGTGGAGTCTAAGGATAAAGACGACAATCGGACGCCGCTATGGCGGGCGGCACAGAACAGGCACAAGGCGGTGGTTAAGTTACTAGTCGAGCGAGAGCGCAATCTGGAGTCTAAGGACAATAAGAGCGGTTAGAGATTGCTATCGTCAGTAGCAGTGAACAGGCACGAGAGAATGATTAGGCGTTTCAAGTCAGAAAATTAAAAAGAATTCTTTATTTCCTCTTTACTCGCTATTTACAAGCTTATTTCTTTTATATAATTAACTTATATTTCTTCTTAATTCTAGAATATTAAGTCATCATGATATAAACTTAACGTTCTAATTCTGTTTATCACTTCTAATAATCTTCGTCGTAAGAGCACTCACGCCTAGTATTAAATAATTACGCACGCTGGTGAAAATATTAGAAATTGAGAGTCAAGAAAGTCGGAATGTATTGGGACAGTACAATCTCAAAGTATAATTCGCACGGAGTACAATTCGGTCTCTGGCGATTCACCGCCTCGTAACGGCGTTTCAGACTATTCGTACTCCTGTGCGGCGGACTATTATCCTGATTCCATGTTCCTCATCAACGGTACATTCAACACGAATAACCTTAATCTGACGCTTATTAGCATTGCCGGTATCAATAACCTTGGATGCATAGCTGCAAGAACTGTGCCGCCGCTGGGCTGCCTTGTCGGATGCGCTCGTAAGAAATCATCCACGTCATCTGGATGCTCCTGTTCTCGTAGTCACGTAGGCGAGGCGTCTCCGCCACCAACCAGGACTATGACGTCTCGTACAGTTCGAGGTACTTTGCGTAACCCGTCTTGGTTGCACATATATATGTACCCGCTTGAACCAGGGCAAGTAGGAGGTAGCCTTAGTCGTTAGATAAGCTTGTTAATATCTACAGATTAATCGGTTAGCTTTTCCTGTCGTATTCTGATAGGATGCCTATTATACTATTTTTAGATAGATACAGGCCCGACTAGTTGCTAAGCAGCTTCAGTGCTTGATCAGGCCTAAGTCGGGTGATCTCAGTCGACTTTCTAATCTCTCCTAGAGAAGGAAGACGGGTTGTGATGAGGACGGAGCTATAGTCGGCTGGTGGCACGAACGAGATGACATTATACGCCTGAACATCTTCGTCGGATTGTACGTCTCGGTTGATATTGTCAAAGATCATTAGCTATCAACGGTTCGTTTCTAGGGCGAGCTATCTAAGGACCACATCTGCGTTCACCTCTAGATTTAGAACCTGCTGGGCCACACTAATTGCTGAATCCGAAACTCTACTAATATGTACATGCTGGCCAAACGCAGCTAGGCTCTGTAGGACTATATCTCTACTGTAGCTGTTTACTTATACTATTACAGTGTATATATGCTAATGCTTGCGGGCGTATATAATAGTTAGCTAAGTCTTTCTAATTCCTCTAAGGCTATAAAAGATATAGATCTTTCGCCTATTTTGTGCCCTCGTTGCTAAAAGATATTCTTCTATCTCTTTTATCTTAACCTCTTAATTAATAAAATAGCTAATAACAAAAAGGCCTATAAGCTGAAAAGAGACACAAAACTTATCACTTTCTAGGAAATATATTATTAGAGCTTATTTAGTTATACTGATTCTTTAAGATCTCTATAGCCTGTCCTTTATATATAGAGCTATATCTCTTCTCCTTTTAAAGGGGCTATATAGCCTAGGTGCGCTTACCTATATCTAATACAGTATTAATCGCTCGTTAGCTCTCTACTAATTAACTTCTAAGATTAATCTCTAAAAACTTTATAAACCTTTAATAAAAGAGCGCTAGAGCTAATAAATCTATAATTACTATATTAGCGAATCTATACTATTAGTTGCTCTGTAACGTCCTCTTTAAGTTTCCTTATTAGGAACCAGAACTTTATTTTGTCTATATATCTAACAAAGTTAATAGCTAGCTTAGTAATAACGATCTATAACTAGAGCTCTAAGCCCTTTTATTTGTTAAAGTATTCCCTGAGTTTGATTATCTTTCTAAGCTTCTTCTCTTTTAGTAGGGCTTATAATATAGATTGTTCCGCCCTGCTTAACTATTATATCTAAAGTTGCTAAGTCAGAGTCTCTTATTATTATTATTCCTGTATAAGATTATTCTCTAATTAGCTAATGCGCTAGAGGAGCTTATTACTCTGTTGCTGTTACCAGTTTTCTAGCTGTTTAGTCTGTTATCTAGCCTGTCTGTTGTGCTATTCGTTATCTATTAAAAAATCCATTCTTTTGTCGCTTCTCTTGAACTTCAAGGTTACGATTTTTAATAGAAGGCTGCTGTTAAGGAGCTACCTGAAATCAATGTCGCCTTCTGATACTCTGACTTCTAGAGTAACAGAACTAATATACCTTTTACTATCTGGAGATAGTTAATCTAATGAAGAAAGAAGTTTCGTCTAATGTTAGGGATTGCGAATGAAGGCAAAAGCTCTTAATTAGCTACCTATAGACAAGGAGACGAAACTTGAGAGTTCTATAATACAAGGGGGAAGTACGGGTTATTTGTACCCGTCTCCATGCCCCTATCTTTCCTCCTGAGCCGTGCCCCTATCCTTCCTCCTGAGCCGTGCCCCTAGCCCCTGAGGACATTCCCGGTGACATGCCCACTATCACGTGACGCCGCACCAAGACATCACGTGTTGACCTGAGGCTGTGGCCCAGGTCTCCATGGGTTCTACCCCATGACAGTAGCTAACTCTTTATCTATATCTAGCAAATTATCAGTATCGCAATCTAATTAATCGTTGCTAAGATTCTTATTATTAAAGTTATTAACAAAATAATCGTCATCAAATTCAAAGGGATCCGTAAGAATTTCAGTAACAGGTGATTCAGGTCTAGCAAGGATTGTGGCATACTGTTTCCTCCAAAAGAAGGAATAGTTGACTTCATGTGTTGGACCATATGTCAGATGGATTGCATCTACTAACAATTTGTTAGCAGATGTGAACTCTGATGGCCGATTTTGCACCAGATGTGACACAGTTTCGGGGTCTATCCTGCTGCGCAATGATTGTTGGTGTTTGATTCCTGAGTCCTGACAGGTTACGCGTTTCTACAAAGTTTTTGATCTAACCTGAAAAGGTGAGAACTAGGCCCCTTTGAGAAGCCCTATTACCTAATTAGGCTGTTGTAAGAATAAGGTTTTGCTAAATCTTACAACAGTTGTAAGATTAGGGAATGGCTGTTGTAAGAATAGTGGATCCCAAATTGTCAGACGCCAGTAAGCATTTCTACATGCCACCTCTGCATTTTGCCTGCTTTTAATTGGTCATTTTCGCCGTAATTTCGGAACCAATTTCCCTGCGATTTATACATAAGTATTTCTGTGCACTATACGCCTCTTCAAGAGAGAACAGGGCCATTTCTTCTGCTTATCTACTGTGCGTTGCATAAGAGTTACGAATTCCTTGGCGGGACCCTCGAATTGCTG